CTTCTACCATTCTTTTAATGTCAAACTTATTCCCCTTTTGCATAAAAGTTTGTGTGTTGGGGTTGTAGGCCATCATCTCACCATCCAGGATACAGATCTGCACATCCGGTTTGAATGCATTATAAATGAAGGGGGTAAGAGAACCTTCACTGGGAGAAGCACCAAACTGCTCGGTGTAGTTGTACCCATTTCGAGAAAAGTACTGATACACATCTCCATCTTTGTGCATCTGCATGCGTTCACCATCGAGCTTGGTTTCGATGTAGAAACTCTGGTGTTTCATGTCCTTCTCGATGTGCTCAATATCTGCGATGGCAGCCAGCATTGGTTTAAAGGCAGAAAACAATGTGATAGAAATGTCACTGAGTCCAACAGAGGGGTCATGGAGTTGCCTACAGACTTTCTCCAGGTCTGTGGTGACATTATGCAACTCAGCAGCATCATTATGAAAAACAGAAAATATAGTTTTCTCACTGAAACCAAGCTTTAAGTCCTTTACAATCATCCGTATAAGCCACTTTTGTTCAAGTGCTGAACTCTGAGTTATAAGTTGAAGAAGACTCTTTTTCACTAGGTCTTTTTTTCTGGCAGAATTATTGCTGGCAATTGAGTCCAGAAGTTCATTGACTTGCTGTATGTTTAAACTTCCTTTCTGTAAACATCTTGGCTTCAACACAAAGTATGCAATCACTGCAAAGTCTCCAGCATCTCCACGAGTTCCAGTAGGTGTTCTGTAATTGAGGAGTTTAAGAGCATCTTTCCCTTCTCTCGGTAAATTCAGCAATTCAATATAAAGCTTAGCAAGCATAGTTTCTTTGATTCCATAAGCCATTCTCTCTCTTTCCAGCTGAGGAAGAATAAGTCTCATTGCTGGGTAAAAAGAGTCTGTAACATCTTTTTGGTTCTTATGAAGAGCAGCATGAAATTTTCTCCAAGAATCTAAAAATTCCTTGAAGTGTCTAATTTTTTCTGCACGTCCTTTACTTTTCTGCATCCGTTCTAAAGTTGAACATAAATCTGCAAAGGGAACATGAGATGCAACAGTTTGTGAAGTTTGTGAGGCAGCCATAGAAGCAACGGTGAATCCTCTGGTTTACCTAGTAACACAAAAATAATAATTTTAACTCAAAGGTAAAATTCAACTAAGTATTTAACATTAATGACCTCATAGAGTTCATCCAGATCATAATAAATGTCTATAAATGTCTATAATTCAACGAAAATAGATCAATGCTAGGAATGATACCTTTTCAACTTCATCTAACAATTGGCATTTATTAGAATTAGTATTCATCAGAAATATCACCATGCCCATGTTCTATAATATTGAAAAATAATTTTATTTTTCCCTAAATGCCAAGATACACTGAATTCACTCTTTATCACTTAATTATTTAGCACACAATCCAAAAGAATATTGCTAATAATAATGAAAACCTAAAAAATCAAGCACAATATATCTTATTTATAGGCTTCTTGAAGTAAGGTCCTCCTTTGATGTCTCCTTTCTCTCTCAGACTACTACATGACACCAGAACCAAAATGCTTAAAATAGATTTTTTTTTTAACAAATCACCCAATTATGGAGTTGAAATTTGATTTCTTAGGAATTTTGAAATTCTAATGATAGATTTCACTTCACAGAAAACAAACAGAAGATATCCTTTTTGTCCAGTCCAACAATGCTTATGCCTCTGTTCACATTTATCTCTGCAAATCTTTCTAGCACTCAAAACCCAACTCAAAATACCCTCCTCATAAAATATCCACTTTACTTCCCTATCTAACTTATTATAGTTATTTATAGCTTCATAAATATAAATTCATTAGTACACTTTTTTGTTTATATTCTTACATCAGGAATTCTCCAAGTATTTAGTGATTACATATAAGCCAGGCACTTGTATTATAGCAAATACAGTACGTTTCTGCTTTAAAAGATCATATATTTTATAACAAAAAGGGACATAATGAGAACTAATTATAATGAAATGCTGAGTATGTTAAATAAATAAATAAAATGTCTTGCAAACCACTGAGCTAAATCCTTGGCCCCAGAGCCTTTTTACTGAAGTCTGAAGTCAGAAATGGGGGTAGGGTACTCCTCTGACTGCCCTGGTAATGGTGCACAGCAGCCATGTAGTGACCTACAGAGAAAAAAAACGAAACAACAAAACTGCTCTCCTCAGCCTAATTTCTTTTTTTAAAATGTATAACTTTATTATCATTCACTAAACATACATATATACAAAAATTAAAATTATTCAAAGAAAAGCAATGCAAGGGAAAAACTGTAATAATATTTAAATATAATAGAACTCAACCAAAGCAAAACTGAAAAGTACTTAAACATTTTTCTATATAATATAAAAAAGCATCTCAAGCATTAACAAGACATCAAAGGATGTGGTTTGTTTTAGAAATATTTTCAAAACTAATATTGAACAAATAATGATCTGGAAAAAAATTCTAATTAGCTAGTAGACTCCACATAGGCCAAATTTTTTTAATTTAAATTTCAATACAGTCATGTGACACGTGATGGAAATATCATGAGAAATACGTTATTAAGCAATTTCATCCGTGTGTATCGCAAAGTACCACACAGAGTGCCAACTTCTAAGTGCAAATTGAGAAGGTATATGTCAATCAGCTGTGATGGCCCCTTGATATTATCCAAATACGCAGTTAAATACGAGATGCATGAGGCTACCACTGGCATAACAGCACACTGTTTTACAGTAAACTCTTTTATATAAGTAGGATTATGCTCTAAAGGATGAAAAGCACAGGATGTTATGATAAGTACCTAAAACAGTAACAGTCATTTATCACACTATGGAGTGCTGTGTACTGTACCTAGTTGTATGTGCTTCTTCTGGAAACACACCCTTCTCTCCTTTGATCTCAGTGACTCTTCCTTCCCAACCCACTGATGAGCTCCAGCCTAGTTGCTATCTACACCTCTTCCTATAATTTTAAACACAATCTATATATGAGAAGAGATCAGAGTTACAGGCTGGAATCTGGAAAGAATCCATATAAAGAATCCTCAGCCTAATTTCTGACAAAGGAAACCCAGCTTCTCCTGAGTAGGTTAGATCAAGAGACAAACCCACCGGGGCCCACTTTCCCAAGACTTTCATCACAGTAACCGCTTCCCCTTGCTGACACTGGTTTGCATAACTGACTGTACCACCTGGTTCCCGGAGTGGGTACTTTACAGTATATAATGCTATATTTGCAATATATGTATAACGCATGCAAAATGAACTGTTTTAAGAAATATATGCTGAATGCTCAAGTATTGGTATATAATTTTTATAGATCTATTTGTAGATTCTATGTCTCAGTTTCCCTCAACAAATCCCAGGAAACATTTAAATTACTTTACAACAATGCCAAAGTTTAGGTAATGATTGGATAAACATGTATCCTAAAATGCCTGTATGTATAGATAACAAAGCTCCAAACAGTATAAAATGGATAGATAACGTTTTTTGCTCATTTTAATTCCCTAAAAAAGTCAAAGATTAGGATTCCCATCTCTTTTTACATGATGTTGAATTTTATTTTTTGGATTCTGAGGTTTTTAGCTGATGCTTTCCATTTGCAATAAGACAAAAGAGGTTTGTTGTTAGAGTGCATGCTGTGGAGCAAAATAAATTTTTAGTTCATATGTGGACTCTAACATTTACTAGCTGTGCAATGTGAAGAAATTAATTTCTCTAAGTAAACTTCAGCTTCCTCAAGTATAAAATGGGGTTAAAAACGTCAAAATTAGGATGACAATGAAATTAGCTATTCTGTGTCAGTTGCTTAAAAGAGTATCTGGCATTAGCAAATCCTTGATATTTCAATACTTAAGTGCTTGCCGTTCCAAGCAACGTTTAAAATCCAATACTGCAAAATACTAAGTAGATCAGAATCGGAGAAGAATGTTTCACTTTTTAATTGTGCGAAAGTATTAGTGAAAAATAATGCCTCATCCATTCTGCTGCTGCAAGGGCCACCAGAAAACCAGCAGGTTTCATTCAGTGACTACGGAAGATGATTAAGTGCTATTTCACTGGAGAAAAGGAAGATGCACAACTGAAGTTCCCTTCATGCCACCCTTGACAAGTTGTGTTTCCCTCGGGGACAGTTGGGTTACAGTCGCCTAACTTCCGCAGCAGCCACTGACATTCTGGGAGAAACGGGGCGGGGGGGGGAGGTGGGGCGCGGGCGGGCGGGCGTTTGAATTAATGGTATGAGAACAGCAAGAGGTTCTGGGACCCGGACAGTTAGTGAAAAGATACAGCAGGAGAGCAACAAAGCAACCTCCCACTCCACTTCCATCTGTGTCTTCTCGCAAAATCCAAAGACGTCTACATCACCGTGATCATAATAAACGTGTTTCCCCCAAATTCTCCGGGACTCCGGGTGGACACCATCTGTGAGCTCGAGCCCCATAGGTAACGGGGATCCCGGGAGGGGTCAGGATCGGAACCCAGGCCACGGAATCAGGCGCCACAGCTCCCGAGGGTCACCGTGAGCGACCGTCGCCTCCCCGCCCAGGTGTGGCCAGGACCAGGAGCCTCGAACCAAGAGAACAGGCGCGGACCTGCATCTCCAACCGCGTCCACGCAGACCTGCCTCATGCAGATCCCCACCCGGCGCCCCGCACAAACCTGTCAACGGCCGCCGCACACACTCCCACCAGAAGACACGGCCACCAAACCGGAAGCTGCCGCCAAACAACACAGGTGCCGCCAGCTGCTCGCCGCGCATGCGCACTGACAATCTGAGGGCAGAGCTAGATGGGCGGGACGTCAGCGGACGGTGTGCGCAGGCGCAGCGGATTCGCAGGGAAGGGGCGTGTCGAATTTCCTCGCCGAGGGAGCTCCTGAGCCGGTTTAAACTGAAACCACCCGCAGCTCTGCTTTGCTTCTGGAGCAGTTGCTCTTCGCAATCGGTCGACCCACGCATGAATGGATTTCTTCTTTGACCAAAGCACTGTGCGTTGATTTGTTACCAGAACCCCGAGCCTGGGCTCTTCCTAGCAAGTGACAGCCTTAGTTGTTGTTTTCTGTATGTAAAACTGTGGCAGCCGCACTCCTGCTTAGCAGCCTGGTTGTGGTTGTGAAAGCATCCAGTAGAGAAGAGGATGGCCTCCCTCCCGAAGTTCCCGCTGTTTTATTTCGGTAGAAAAGTGAGCTTTTGCAAAATTATTTCAGGCTGTTTTTTCTGATTTGTGCAAGTGTGATGTGCGTTCTTGTTTCTTAGGACAGAAGTGACTCAACACATCATTTATCATACAGATAATAAACAGGCGCATGCGCTCTGGGCTCTTCTACTCGGCTCTCAAGGCTTCAAAAAGCTGACAAAGCTTTACTGAGCACCCATGAAACAGTAATTGTGCTAGATACTCAGGACTGAGAGATTTAAACAAACCCAGTACTTTTGTTACGGCGCCACTGCTTCCCGCTGAAATCTTGCTGTGATCTGTCGTCCTTTTTCACAGAGACTTGAGAAATTAGTGATAACGGGTGGTAAAACAACTCTTGTAATTATTTGCTTGTAATATAAATAATGTTTTAACACGAGAGAGTCAAATGTTGCTGCCGTGAGCTGTGATAACACATTTCAGAACTGCCTAGTGCCATCAGGGCCATGCACTGTGCAGAGCTGAGAATCAGTTCACAGTGCTAATCGACGTGGAACTCGGTCCTAGGGCTCCTCCAGCACAACACATTTTCTTTGCAATTGTAATTCACTAACATCTGCCGAATATTTGTCTGAAATTATCTGTGATGTTGTAAAGCCACAGGATTCTGTTTAATAAATAACATCTTCTCTAGCCTGCTCTTCGACTTATTTATCACGTTACTTTCGAGCAATGTTAGACGCTTCGGGACGCGTGTCTCTGTACATTTGTGTCTTGTTCAACACCTACTCAGCTCCTGCATTGTGAGATATTGGACTTTCCATTACTGGTAGGAGAATCGCGAGCTAGACAAACTCCCTCTTAATTCAAAGCCCAGTCGCTATCATGCTATTTTAAATTAAAAGAGAATTCTTAAGTGTCTTCTAGGGCTGCTGTAGTTATTACTTATATAAATGGAGTGTCCCGTCTCTATCTGGCAGCGAGATACATGTGTTTAATGACAATATACACTTAGGAAATTACCACCGTATATATAAACTAGGGAACTTAAAACGGAACGACCAAGGTAGGAAGGGGACTTCCATCTGTAAACGGTAAAGTCTGGTACGAAAGTGGTGGGCAGTGAAGCTATTGAGACTCTAGATTCCAAGGCCTCAGGAAAGCCTCTGATGTGTCCCTATGAACTGGTGTTTTTGCAAAAATTGAAAAAAACACAAACTTTTGCATTCTTTCCCTTTACAGAAACTTTCAGATTCGGGCCTGCAAGAGCCCCGGACGGTCCACTCTGATACAGGTGAAAAAGAAAAACAGGGCAGCGCTTTAAATTCTGGAATTCTGCTCACACCCTAACACCCAATCAGGGAGAAACCATTTCTTCTGTAAAAAGTGCGTCCTGAAGGGCGACCAGGAGGTCTCCCTGGGTCGGCCCTGGCCCTCCTGCCCCGGAAGTCTAGGGTTTGACGGGCAGGGTACGCAGGCTCCCGGAAGAGCTTGAGAAGCCAGGAGTCTCGCTCCGCGGGGCGGCGCCGGCCTGCGGCGCCGAGGTCTCTTTTCCGTCTCGGCCACCGTCGCACGACTCCGGGGGCGGTCTCTGCGCATGCCCCGGAGGCGGGCCGGGGCCGCTCCGGGAGGAAGGCGGGGAGCAGGTTATGTGGGAGGTGGCGGGGGCGCTTGCCGGCGACGCCGAGCGCGGGCCGGAAGTGGGGTCGCCGAGCGCCACGCCGCAAGAGCTCCGGCCAGACCGTGGCGACGGCCGCCGCGGCCCCTCGGCTGGCGGGGGACGATGAGGAGCGAGGGGAGTGGCGCGGGGCGACGCTACTGCGCGGCGCCCGGTTTCGTGGCCGCGGCCGACTGCGCAGCCCGCCCGCGACCCTGAGTGAGTGCGGCGGGGTCGGGGCCGGGGCCGGGGTCGGGGCCGGGGTCGGGCCCGGGCGGGCGCCGGCGGGCGGCTTCCGGGCTCGGGCGGCAGCGGTGTGCGCTCCCGGGCTGGAGCTCCGGGTCGTTCGCTCGCCGTTGCCCGCGAGCGAACCCGGGATCCTTCGCCATCGGCCTCCCCGCCCACGCCGCGGAGGAGTCGCCGAGGAGCAGCCGGCCGCGTCTTCTCGGGAAAGCAGAGCCGCGAGCTCCGCGGGCGAAGTCCGTTTCTGCTGAGCGTTTTTGTCTGCGTTTCGAGCAAAATGCGTTACCAGTGGTGTCCGCCGAGGTGTCCTAACCGAGGATGAGCGGCGTTCAGCAGCCCTCCTCCACGATGGTCTTTAACAGTAACAGAATAGAAGGGGCCAGCCCGAGAGCTTTACGTTCACAGGTTTGGTTTTCATCAGACTTATTTCGGCATGCATTGATTACATATCCTCGATTGAAATATTAAATTATTTCCCACTGGGTAGAAGTCATGGTTGTCACATCTGGTATCATTATCCTACTCAAGACGTCAACTGCTCAGTAGTTATTAGTAGAGGCCCCAGGCGCCTCTGTTTGGTGAAAATACAGAGTTGAACGCGAGGAAGTCGCTGTTACAGGGAACTCGGCCCTCCCTATAGGCAGGTTAATTACACTGCAATCTGCAGCAGGTGCCCCACGTAAGTTAGCACAGTCCACAGAAGAGGGGACGATTGGTGGTAGGGGTCAAGAAAAACTTTCTCCAGGGCCTACCACCAGAGCTTGACTTTGACAGAAAAATAAGGAATTGCTCTAATTATTTCCGTGTGAAAACAGCAGCCTCCAGTGAGTCATTTCCATTATTTAGGCCAAGTCTAGCAGGACTCCTAATTGTATTTACTTTACCTTACTCTGGTAGGCAATAAAATACATTTTGTCACGTAGCCGTAGCTTCATTTATTAGCACACTATTACGTCTGATCGCGGCAGTATTTCCATGCAGTGTTTCTCCTTTTACCTACGAAGAAATACATATTTAGAGAGGCTAAAGGAGCTGGCCGAAGCTACCTAGCCATTAACAGACCACGCCCCAAAGAGGCTCCTTTCCGCTGTGCCACCGGTCATTAATTTGAAATGAGGAAAGCAGACTGTCTTCTGCACTCTGCCTGCAGGTCGCTCTGGGCCCGTGTCCACGTCGGGCACGCGGAGGACTCGTTGCCCTCCGAGTTAGGAGTGTATCCGAGCCACGTCGTCCTGGGCAGAGGGTGTGACTTAGTATAGTACAGAAAACTCAGCCCTCTCGTGCTTCTCGGGGGCATTCTTTCTGTTTCTGTGTTTCCATTAATCTAGAACTCATTTAATTATTTCTCGGAGGTTCTAAAATCTTGCTAGTTCTTCTTTGGTCCCTTCAGGAAATTCTGAGGTCCGCAAACATCCTTTTCTGAGCAGATCTTAAAAAAGGCTTTAGTTCTTCTAGTTAAGTTTTTTTTCTTTAAATGGGAGACTTCATACTACAGTACTGCATTTTATGTTACTGTTCCACAGGTCTGAAACTGTAAAACCAGGACCTTCTGCCGAAATCCCTTGGGATGGTGGAATTCTTTTCACGTCGTGAACTACACGTGTTTAGGAGCTCTCCGGAGATTCCAACAACTCCGTAACGCTGGTTTAGTATAAGAAAATAAATTCCAAGTTTCACCTGTCTAGATTATAGGTTACATTTTTAAAACATTACCCAGTCATAAATTGTAAACCAACTGAATTTCACTAGTCTGAATTCTAGAATCAGCATTTACATTTTTGATTTGGGGGCTTTCTTCTTGTTGCTTACCATATTCTCCCAGATATTTATAATACCCAGGTGTGATTGGTTCCCATAGTGATAATCTGTCATCTTTGTTTTTGTCAAAAATGACCATATTGCCAAGTCTTTAATGTTTCAAGAAGGCAGAAAGTACAGAAATGTTTCTAAGTTGCTGCCTAGTAGTATAAGTTTGAGGGATCTGCTCCTGCCCATTTAGAATGCGCTGCTGAACCATTCATTTCCCCCATCTCTCCAGAGGCAGTTACTGCTCATTTGTCCCGTGGGACTATTAATGCACACTTTCTCATTATTGATGCGTGTGGGTAACCATCAGGGAAATAGTAATTCATTCTGTGGTGTCTCTGACACACTGAAGCAGCAGTCTGTTTCCACTGCAGCCCTGCGGCTGGTGCAGTTGCTTGACTCGCCCGTGCTTCGCAGAAAGGGAGGCGCATTGGTGTAAGGAGGCTGAATCTGAGCTCTGTGGCTTGGGCCACGACTGGGAGGTGTAGATCCCGAGTGCCCGCCGAGCATGCGGGTCCCCGTTGTCCCATGTGACCTGTGGTCCTGCTTTCCCCTCTTCGCGGGGCCTGCGTGTTGCGCTCTCTCGTAGGTCGTGTACACTGTTCAGTGGTGAGTGGCACTCACTTTACGACATTTCTGAAATTATCCACTGAAGAAAAACTGAAGGACCTTTAAAAATGATAGTACTTATATTAAGACTTCTTACTTGTCCTTATAATTATGTAGTCCTTCGTTAAATTGTCTTGGGGGATTTCATATATAATTCATACATAGGTAAACCATTTGTATCTTTCAAACATCTTTTGGTTTGTAAAACATCGTTGAATATATACTGTGCAGCACAGTGTACTTTTACAGTTAAAACATTAGAATAATTATTTCATGGTGTGGAAGCGCCAACATTTATAAAATATGTGACTTTTTTCTGTGGTGGAATAATACATCCGCCTAGTTTGGTCTTCTAGTTATTAGGTCGGTGATAAAGTGCATACAGCTCCTGCAGTTTGTGTTTTAATTCTTGATGTAAGTTGCATCTTTACTTTTAAATTGTGGATAGACTATTACTGGGTAAAGAACCTTAAATGTATTTATAATATGCACAGAGGACTTCAAAAATTGTAGAATGTCATTCTTAATTTGAAGGGACAGGTTTCTGGGGAAAGACAGTTAAAGTTACAGAGTTAGACTGTGTAAAACAGTGGTTCTCAGACTTTTTGGTCTTAGGACCCTTTTACATTTTAAAAACTTACTCAGAATTTCTTATGTAGATCATCTAGATGTTTTATTAAAAAGTAAAGCTATAAGTTTATAAAATAATAGTAATAAAGCCCATTGTATATTAATATACATAACATTTTGTGTGAAGCAACTAATTGCAAAAATAAGACTGGCATTGTTTAACATTTTTAAATAAGTAAGTTTAATATCTGCTTAATAGAACAGGCAGATTATCGTGTTTCTGCACTCAGGCTCTTTTAAGTGAAACCTGAGGGAAAGTAGGCTCGGGCCAGGCTGTGTTTGGGTATGGAGGGTTATTGTGCCCGCTCTCCCCGAAACTGATGCTCGGAAGAGGGCCTTCCTCAGGCCGTGCACCGGCCCCCAGCCGTGCCGTGCCTGAGACTGACTCACACCCTGGGTGCCTTCTGGGGACGGGCACGGTGTCCTCGCTCACAGGCCTCAATGGTGACACCACCCTTCATCAGCGGTTAGATTTGCTCTACTTAGTTGTGCGGATTCTTCCACAGGGTGAAACATTTGATACATTATGAAAAGTCAGATTTCTTAATGTCACCACTGCCACCCGAGTGCTATCAAAAGACCCAGCTGCCGGGGAGTGATTGGAAGCTTCATTCCCTTCCCAGGAATGTTGGTGACACTCAAGTCTGAATGACCGTAGTTTGTCAAGTGTCTTTTTCAAAATTAAAATACTGTCACTGAAAAAATGCAGCGAATTCTGCTTCCTATTCAAATGTATCTTAAGGCACAGCACAGGTCCCATTATGTCAGGTAATGTGTTCAAAAGATAGGTACTTGTTGGTTGAGTACAGGTAAAGGAATCATTGTTGCCGCTGCTTCCCCGCTGTTCCTAAGTGAAGCTGGCTTTTCTCCCCCCTCCTGTGAGCTTGTGCTGCTAAAGAGTACTGTGCTCTTGCATGTTAATGCTACTGCCTTGATTCCTGCGCTTCACCCATCCTTGCTTGTGCACCATTAGTACACAGGTCAGGAGGTGAGAAGGGAAATGTGTGTACGACGGTGATCTGGACCCCTGGAGAGGGTCTAGAGGACCTCCAGGAGGCTGCGGCCACCTCTTGAGGACCATTGGCAAAAGCTGAGCACAAGCCTCAGACCTGTACTCCCAGGGCTCTGTGAGCCTGAGGCAGGAACAGTGAGTCCGAGCCCAGCCTGTGCAGGTTAGCAACTTGCTTAGGGCCAAAGGGCTCAAAATAAGAGAGCTGAGCGTGTCGTTCTGGAAAGGCCCAGCAGTCCGTACTACTTGATAATCTAAAAGAGGGCCTTAAAGTGTGTCAAGTTTCATTGCTCTGATTTTTTCTGCACCATCCTTGTCAAGCATGTATGTTGATTATGCAAAATACTTCCAGTTCCTGTGAAGAGTTGTGCTAAGTAATTAAAAATAAGTGACAGACAGCTGGTTGGTAGAAAGTAAGAGATTCTTAGCCCTGGAGTTACCCTTTGTCCTGGTTTTTGAAAGTTTGCTTAAGTTTTCACTTGGTTTCTGTAAATGGTTGAGCCTGATGAGGTCCAGCTAGATGATTAAAGGCGTTGTGAGGACACATAGCTAAGGTTTCGCTTCCCTGTGCCGTACTTAAGGGCAGCTGTGCTCTTTCTTTGGCGCAGTCTCCTCTAGCTGAGTGCGGCCGTATCGCTCGTGTGTTTTCCAGGCCGGCTCACCAGTGCGGAGTAGCTTGTGAGCCGCAGGAGGGCAAGGCCTGTGGTACGCTTATCTGTCATCTCTAGTTAGCCCGCTCTTCCTGCGCACAAGGTTCACATCGCTGGTGTCTGCACTGTGATTTGTGGCATCGTCTTAGCCTTGAAGTAGGAGAGTAGGATGTGCTGGAATGAGATGACCGCCAGCTTGGAAGAGGCCAGCAAGCTGACGCTGAGGCCCTGCAGTGCTACAGGCTGGGCTGATGGCTCCCCTAGGGCCTGCAGGAGGACTCTGAGGGCTAGGCCTGAAGGGGAGGCGTAACTGCAGTATTGAGTGCTATTTTTTTACACCTGAGATGCTTTGTGGACAGGGGCAGTGCCTGGCTCGGCTTGCTTGGTGACTTATTCAGCCAGCACTGCTGGTCACCATGCTTACAGTTTCAGATCATTCTCTTGTGCAGTTTTATATTGGTTATCGCACGCCCGTGATGAGCTTAAAGGCGGAAGCATACAGAACACTGGAGGTGACTGTCCCACCTTGCATGTCAAGGGCATCGGGATCAGAGTTCTCCACACTGTATCAGGGTGTTGCTGAAGTCTGACGTGGATAGTTCAGAACCATTCTTTTAAAAGGAGAACAATCATTGTATCTAATCTATTTTATAAAGACTAGTCATGCTTTCAATAGATTAGTTCTTTTACATTTATTTTATTTATTTATTTATTTTTTTTTTTTGTACTGGGGATGAACTCCCGTCCTTGTGCTTGCACGGCAGGTGGCGAAACCACTGAGCTAAATCCCCGGCCTCTTTTGCATTTTTTAAAAAAATGATTAGCACATGTTAGTTAGCAAAACGTGAAGTTTACGTTCATCTAAGGGCAAGGGCGTAGGTCCAGGCGGGTATAAACACACCTTGATTCTTTCCAATAGGTTACATTTTACTCCACATATTATATATTGAGCCTCAAAATCAAACCCATGCTTTTTAAAACTGTAGGTGCTTACGCATCATGCTTTTTGTTCCTAATCAGCACAGGGCATACAAGATGTCCGGGGACAAGGAGATGAGTTTGAGATGCCAGGAACCCTCAGGCCCTCAAGACGGGGTGCAGAGGAAGCGAAGACCCAAGCAGTTTGGGCAGCGGCCACGGGTGGGGCCTGGAGAAAGTGAACCTGGCACTGGAGCACAGTGAAGGCCCTGGGGAGCGGGCCTGTGTGGCTCACCGCTGAGAGGCTTCCTGCACTCTCTTGGCCTGCAGCCGGGGGTGGGGCTGTGGCGAGACAGTGCGCGATGACACTGAGGGCCTGGCAGAGGGCACTGCTCCTTCCTGGGGCTGGAAGCAGAGTGAGGAGGTGTCCCGGCCACGGCCCCCAGTGTCCTGCAGGGACCCAGCTTCCTCTGACTGGAGAGGAGACCAAGCCTTTAGGACAGAGGCCCATGGGGAGCGAGTCTGATCCAGCCGAAACAGAGTAACCCAGAAGGCTGGGGACGTGACCTTGGGCAGTGCCTGGCCAGGGAGGGAGGCAGGAGAGAGACAGGAGTTGGTTTACGTCTGTGTCAGTGCTGAGGAGGAGGCTCCATGTGCTGCAATAGCAGCTGAGATGTGCTCTTCACTAGCGCTCACTCATCCCAGCTTCGGGAAGTGGTTAAGATGCTACGGAGGAGACAAGCCACAGATGGATGAGTTTTAGATTAGACACACAAAAGCCAGGGGTGGTGGTGTATACCCACAATCCCAGCACCCGGGAGGCTGAGGCAGGAGGATTGCTGCAAGTCTGAGGCCAGACTAGGCTCCATAGTGAGTTCAGGGTCAGCCTGAACTACATAACTGTCTCAGAAAACCCAACAAAATAAAATAGATTTGACATGAAAGATTGGGTCTGGTATCATGGCACAGGCAAATTTGAGACATACAGATAAATCAGAATTCATTTAAAATATAGGCAAGTTAAAATTACATATTCAGTAACGATGTGGAAGGAAAATGAAAGGGGACAGGTTCTTAGTTGACTATAGGTCTGTTCTTCATGGAACAGTCAAAGAGCTTTGATAGAATTGTGTACAGTATTTTAAACTTGGATTTTCTCTTGTTTATGATGCTGAGATGTTAGTAGCAAATGTGTATCGGCATGCAGAAGAGCCTGATGCCCCTCCTCTCCTGTGACACTGCATACTGTTTTACCACGTCGGACACACTTTAAGGGACGGCAGCCTGCCTTCCTCCTCCTGCGTCACTGCACCTGGACGCCACACTCACAGAGCCCAGTGCCCTGCCGAGCGCCCTCTGCTCCACGGAAAGAGGGGTGGGAACCCGGCCTGTCAGCTGCAAGCCTGTTTTGTGCAGGTCTAGTGCAAAGATGGCACACAACGGGGTGGGTTGGAGCCCCCGTATCCACTCTGCTTCTCAACACAACAGGACATTTGGTCACGGCACAGGGGCACCGCGTCTGGCACTCAGCAACGGACACACTGATTACGAGTCACCTCCCATTCAGCAAAACCCGGTGTGAGCTTCCCCGGCCCTCACTGTCCCTGTGATCCAGATGTGGCTCGCCAATGGGTGTCTTCCTTTTCTCTAAAAACTGTGCTGCTTAGAAGCACAGCTGGGGTTTCCAGGGAAACTGCTGGAAGGTTAGCCAGGGTCATTCCTAGTAGGGAAAAGGGCAGGTTTTGTAACCCTCTAGCCTAGTTTGTTGCAAACTGCAGTACACAGAAAACTCACGACGGACGTGCTGGCTGTAGGAGCTCTGCAGTCGAATTTTAGAGCCGGCGATTATTTTCTTTGAACATCTGGATGTGTACACAGTTGTTAATGCACCTCAACAGATGGCTCAGGACTGGTGCTTTGCGGTTAGTGCATTAAAAGATCCTGTGCACCCTAAGTCTGCGTGTATCAGTTCTCAGAGCATCCTTGAAGCGGAGGTAGGATGCAGTGAAAAGGGAACGGATTGACACACGGTCAATGAAAATAAGGCCTCTGTGAGTGGAGGTCTTGTGACCCACCAGCGCGTGAGAGCACCCTAGGAGGAGGGCCCCGGCATGCACCTGGCCACGTTCACTAACTGGATCCTAAACTGGAGCGCCTGTTGTCCTTCCTGCTTCATGGAGAGCACCTCGTCGTGAGAGTGTGTTTATCACACAGTCCTTTAACGTGGCCATTTGGGGGTGTTTCCTGGAAAACTCTAATTTTATTTTTCACACAAATTTTGCACACAAACACGCGAGCTTTTCTGGCGTGACATCCAAAACATATATGCCCACTGCTGTGTGTTTCCTCAGACAGCAGTAATTCAGCTCTGTCACTGGGTTTTTTGTGTCTGAAGCATTTTAGTCCTGAGCACCTATAGCCATTAGGGATCCTGGAGTGAAGAGAGAAATCCACCTCTGGCCTTACAAATCTAAATTCAGTGTTGTAGAATGAAATTGGAAATGACATAGGCTGCTAAAAGAAAAATAATTTTCAAAATTTAGTAGCTGAAAATTTTAACTATATAGATTTAATAATTACAGATGTAAATATAAATTTTGAATTTCAAAATATGTTTTTATCTGTTTTTTTTAGCTTTATATTTGTAGTTGCATTAGTTTTTTAAATAAGCACTTTGCCTTGAAAACCAAGTTACCTTGTCTGTCATTATCCAGGTAAAGGAACACTTCTTACTCTGTTGAAAGAACATTGATTCAGACAGGAAGTGGTGATAAAGACTGAGTCAGCAAAGACTCAGGATGCTGTGATGTTACTGTGCTTTTCCTGCTGTGTCACCAAATAAATGATGTTTGAGTTACTCATCTTTGATACTTCTGTCAGTGACTGGCTTAGCTATAAGAAAAATATGATCTTGACATTTTCAATACAGAAATGTCTTACAGTATTATCTTACCAGATGTTGCAGTGCTGACATTGCGTGTGTGCCTGTGAACATGTGCACACACCACACACACATACACACACACACACACACACACACACATATACACACACACACACGAATGAATGACCCCAAACCTTTTAATCCCAATCATTGCACCAAAATTGATTATTTTATTTTGGTATGTGATGTTCTTGCTATTTCTCGCATTTTCCTAACACAGCTTCTAGGCACAAACCAAAATCATTCAGATATATTTACACTTTAAACAACACCAACAAAAGAAACACTAGATGGGCCATCTAGGTGACCAGATAACCTTGAGACTGCTCTGCTAGAGGGCAGGCACACAAGCACTATGCTTTGACAGGTAAGGATGGCAGATTATAAAACAAATAATTCAGCACAGCAGGGTTATTATTTGGCTCCTGAAATGTAATGCCTTCAGTCTAATTTTCACCAGGTTTAATTTTCTTTTCAGGCCTGGGTTTTTGCTTGAATCTCTGCTTGCCTTTGTCGATAGAGTGTAGATAGTGCCCCTGCAGTAACTACTGCTGCCGCTGGGTGGCAATGTTGATCTCTGGGCGTCCTCAGAAGTTTCATTTAAATAGGAATTCACATATGAAAGTCTAGGTTTTGTGAAATAATAGCAAAAAGCCAAATTTATTAAATCATCTGACTCATTCCTTTAATAACCAATAACCAACCTACTTTGTTTTAGTCCTTTTGTATCTACTAAAATACCGTATTTATCTGCTTACAGTATATAATAAAATTTTTTAAATCAGTCATTAACGATTATCTGTTGCAGTTAAAGTAGTTTCCTCAGGTAGTTTCGTTAGTGTGTAAAGGGGACTTAGTGTTAAGGGTCTTGTAAATAAGCACATGTGGATGAATAGTGCATCGGGAAACTTGCAGGCTATTTCGGGGTGACGTTTTAGGACAACAGGCATAAACTTTGTGATAAACTTGGTGATATCTATGATAACTTTTTTCTTTATGTCATTTATATATTGTAATCTTTTTTAAATGTCTGAATAGTTCATTTTTGCTTCATGTATCTCAGTCAAGGCTCTGCATTCTCTGTTCTCAGAATTTCTGTGCATTTGTTTCACACTTGTCCCCAGGCATCTCTCATGGTCACGTCACAGTGATCTGTCACACTCAGCCCTAAGCATTGTCTGTCATCACATCCCAGCAGCCTGCATCACACTTAGCCCCAGGCACCGCCTGTCATCACGTGGCAGGGCTCTGCCGACCCAGTGGGGTAAAACTTCAGCAGGGATTATGTGAAAGATGCTGAATAGCTCAGGAGGCCGGCGATCTGAAATGTACTTTAAGTTGGATGTGAAAAACAAATTAGCTTATTAAACTTTTTTCCTTAAAGATAGTGTAATTTTGGAATCTAAAATTATTCAAGCTTGTGAAAACTTCAGCTACCAGGGAAGTATTATTATTTTGTGCCCTAGTTTGTTTAGTCATATATTTTTCTATAATGTGGAAATTGAAATTAACAATACATTCTAATGAATTGGTCTTGCTAGAATAGAATTCATTAGCTGCCTTTCCATGGCTCAGCATCAGGTGTACTGTGAGCTTGGAATTGCATTTCTTTGCCTCCTAACTCTTCTCCTTGGGATAATGCCAAATCTTTGTTGGCTCTTGAGTCTCTATCTCTGCGTAGTAAAATTGGGAATGGCGCCAGCTTATTTTTCTGTCAGATCAGTGGGAATGCCCGAATGCAAGTACCTGGCAGAAAATAAACACTTTTAGAAAAATGAATGAATTTAGAGTATCTTTATGTTTCATAAACGTGGCTTTGGAATGATACAGGAGACTGATCAGTGTGAGCAGAAGGGTGAGGACATTAAGCAACATTGTCAAGGGAGAGTGGTGTAGGCTCCAGGAATGCTGCGTTTGTTACATCGTGTACCTCACTTTACACACACTAACGCGTGCTGTCGGTCTTTCTGTCTTTCTCTAGGGGACTTTCGGAGAGCGATCATGGAAAAGTCCTGGATGCTGTGGAACTTCATCGAAAGATGGCTGATAGCCTTGGCTTCCTGGTCTTGGGCTCTCTGCCGCATTTCTCTCTTACCGTTAATAGTGACTTTTCATCTGTACGGAGGCATTATCTTACTTTCGTTAATATTCGTGTCAATAGCAGGTATTCTCTATAAATTCCAGGATGTGTTGCTTTATTTCCCAGAACAGCCATCCTCTTCACGCCTTTATGTCCCCATGCCCACAGGCATTCCACATGAAAACATTTTCATCAGAACCAAAGATGGAGTACGACTGAATCTTATTTTGATAAGATACACTGGAGACAGTTCGCCCTACTCCCCAACTATAATTTATTTTCACGGGAATGCAGGTAACATAGGGCACAGGTTACCAAACGCATTGCTCATGTTGGTTAACCTCAAAGTGCATCTTCTGCTGGTTGATTATCGAGGATACGGAAAAAGCGAAGGGGAAGCCAGTGAAGAAGGACTCTGCTTAGATTCGGAAGCTGTGCTTGACTATGTGATGACCAGACCCGACATTGATAAAACGAAAGTTTTTCTTTTTGGCCGTTCCTTGGGGGGGGCGGTGGCTATTCATTTGGCTTCTGAAAATTCACATAGGGTTTCAGCCATTGTGGTGGAGAACACGTTTTTAAGCATACCGCATATGGCCAGCACTTTATTTTCCTTCATCCCAATGCGTTACCTCCCTTTGTGGTGCTACAAAAACAAATTTTTGTCCTACAGAAAAATTTCTCAGTGCAGAATGCCTTCGCTTTTCATCTCCGGGCTCTCTGACCAGTTAATCCCGTCAGTGATGATGAAGCAGCTCTATGAGCTCTCCCCAGCTCGGACTAAGAGACTGGCCATTTTTCCGGACGGGACTCACAATGACACGTGGCAGTGCCAAGGTTACTTCACTGCGTTTGAGCAGTTCATCAGGGAAGTCGTCAAGAGTCACTCTCCTGAGGAAGTGCCGAAAACTTCATCCAATGTGACGATTATATAGTGTCTCTCTTGGGCTGATGCGTTGTATTTTAATTTGTGCAGAAGGGTAAAGAATGTTCCTTCCCAGAAGCGCGTTATGTTTTACTTGTCTGAAAGTGACATTAAACTTAAAAAGCACCACGGTGCCCCTTTATGGTGATCCAGATCGCTTTTTACATGTGAAGAACTATAATTCTTGGGGTTCTTTCATACATTTTCATCAAAACTTTGAATGTGGGTGTGTATCCATAATTTTAGTTTAATATGTCAGTGTAATAGAGATTATTCAAAAGTCTCTTGTTGCTTAAGTGGTATAATCTGCTACACTTAGGTGCATAGCTGGGTGTGGAAGGCGATGTGTAAACAAGAAACCTTTGGGTGTAATTCCTTTAGTAAATACTGGGACAATCATGGTAAGCAAACTTAGTTCTATAACTGTATTTTTCACCTTACAAGTTAAAATGAAATGCATGATGGTATTTTATTCTTGACTTATGCAATGCAGCATTTTTAATGTAAATAGCACTGGTCATAGCCCAATGTATATGGGTACCTGGGTTATATCTATTTTTATGTAAACTATTTTGGTTTTGGCAGGAAATGAAATGAGGCCTGTGCGCAGGTTGCCATTAAATTTGTTCTGGTGAATGCTGAGATCCTGCTTTTTCTTACAAATAAAGGGGACCCTGTTTTCCAATATAAATGTACCATGTTTCTTAGGAGATGCAGTCTGGATCATTGCAGATAGAAACCGAAACTTAGAATTTATTGCAGCTTTCTGTGCACATTTTTAACATTTGTAATTTTGATGGCAAAGAGAATTTTAGCTTCTGTGAGTTTTGTAAGTCTCCAGCTAAATCGCTAGTAGGGGTCATAGTGAAAAACTTGCTTAAGACTTCAGTTAGGGAGACTTATTACATGCCTGTGCATACCATTTCAGCAATTCTCACATTTGACTTTTAAATTCCAGTACCTAGGATATTCCTAACCCATGAAAGGCCAAGAGAACATTTATTGGACTTTTTGAAGATAAATAAAAGTTACAAAACAAAAGAATGTGGTTAGCTTAATGTTCCATTTGCTATGAACTAGAGCTACATCAAAAGACAGCTTTAGAAAGTCTTATATTTTTGTGTTTGAATTTTTTACATGTGAGAATGAAGGAAGTCTAGAGCTTTTTGGCACAACTTATGACCACATCTAACAATTAAATGGCTATAGGTGGGAAGTATTTAGATACACAGAAAAGTAAGAAAAATCTTACAAAGAGAAGTCCCTTAAACCTTGAAGGATTTACCTTAATAAAATATGAGCTACAAGGTAGAATTGTGCCAGGTTGTTTCAAGCAGACTTCAAAACCTGGGTGTCACTGAGCTCTGCATTATGATGTCCGCGCTAACGTGATATCTTAATATTTTAGCTGTCTTTGTTGGGTTTCTGCAGGCAGCTAGAGCAGAGAAACAAGGAGTCAGTAATCTTGACCTTAATTTAAAACTTTTTCTGTGGAGGTAGGGCTAGAAATACTTTTGCCAAATAGCATCTTTATCATTCACTTTATGCTAGTATTTAGAAAAAAATAAATTATAACAAGAATAATTTCTAAAGATTAATGGTTTTCTATAAATTATTAATTGTAAAAAGTCTTTTTAAAAAGAGTTGGTAATGCATATCATGGAAGGTGTATTTTGTATGTATAAATTCACAACAATTAAAGGCTACTTTTTATCTTGTCAACATTGCTATGTGGAATGACTGGTAAATAGTAATGTATTAAAAAACCCTAACAACAAAATGTATATTTAGACATGAGCTTTCTTGGCACACATACTTGTATCAGTTTTTAAAGTTTACAAAATACTGTTACGTTTTCACAGATCATTTAGTCCCCAGCACTGTGGAAGGATTTATCAACTTCAGTTGTAAACATGCTGATGAAGTATAGAATCTTCCTCTTTGTCAGCATTACTTTATGCTGCTTTTTTCTCTCCCCCCCCCGCTCCAGGCTTGAGGCTTATGATCCTGTTCCCCCTTTTCTTTTAAGCCAGAACTTCAGAAGTTGTAGAGCACTGTGTTTTTCACTCTCCACCTTCATTCTCCTCTTCAGGGCCTCTGCCTCTGCTGCCTTCTGTGTTTGAGGCTTTCCTGAGAGGAGCAGGTGGAAAGCAAGTTCATGCTTCAGGGCCTTGAAGCCCATGGCTTAATGTTTGAAAGCATCTCTGATTTTGCGGTCGGGGCATTTGGTCTTGGTACAGCATGACTCCTGTATGAGTCACACCTGTGTGCCAGCCTGTCTCTAGTTGGAAGGGAAGTGTATCCGTCTGGATTGCTGATCTGTGGCCCATTTATACAGCAACAGCCAGAGAAGTTCCTAAGTGAATTGTAAATTATTAAGCTACTATCAATTTAGAAATACTTAGATCTTAAATATGACAAGATAAACTCATTGAGGAAAAAAATCCATTATTTTGAAGACAATTATGGGGGGCAGAGAAGACTGATTTTTTTAAAAGGAGCTAAAAGTGCTACCAACTAAGGGAGAAAATAATTCGTAACCAGTAAAACAATACTAATAGCATAGAAACAACCAGACGAGAAATGTGAGGTAGCCAGCCTTAGGAGGAGTGACCGGTGAAATTGGTGAAAAGATAACTGCAGAACAGCTTTGCACGCAAAGCCTTTCTAACAAGGGGAGTGACTGAGGATCTGCCATTGCATCTACCTTATGGCTTTGCAGTTAGGTAACACGATCGTTTCACTAAGTACTGTTCCGAATTTTGTCACGGAGAAGCTTAAATTTGTGATGAGCTGTAATTACACAACTCAGCTGTGGCAGTGTGTCACTGGAGTAGGTAGAGTGCAGTGCTTATTTCTGAGAATTCCTACCATCTGATGTTTATTCACTCCTCTGTTAAGATTCGGCTTGGGTGCGTGTCGGTTTGGTGGAATGAAGAATGAAGGCCGTATTTGTTGGATTTCATGTAAATGATCTTGCAAGCCTAAGCAGCATGGTGGTTTGTGTCTGTGACTCCTTTCCCTCCTCAGGGTGGGAGTGAATACATGATCTGTGAGAAGGATGCTGCAGGAGTCACTTTTTCCTTTTGGTCATGCTTCAGACACTGAAATCCTCCGTTCATCTTCCTCTCCTTTTTCCTATTGTGTTTGATAATTGTGGAATAACAACTGTGAAAGGAAAAATTAGTTACAAGTAACCCTTTTGGATTATTCACTTAAATTTGTGTATTTTCATATTACTCAGGTAAAGTTGGAAATGACAGAGCACAGACATCTATTTTTAAAACTGATAGAGTAGAAAATGGAAAGTACTTCTGTTTATTCTTCCTGCCATATGCACACATCACCTTAGCTAGTCAGAAATAATAATATATTCATTTGTATGATGAAATAAATAGTTGTCGTAATTCTAGTGGATACATTTTTGCCAAGTGGCACAAATATACCTCCATTTATATTTTGTATCTTAAAAATGTAGTTTAAAAATAGGACTGTATAAGCGCCACTTTTTTACAAAAAGTGCCGTATATACATATTTAACGGGTGTGTGTTGAACATAATTTATAGTATAATTTCTGTCAGTACAGCATATACTGAAAATTCAAGTTTTCAACATACCCAAGTACATTCAGGATAAAGTAAATTGATCAAACCTAATAATGTAAATCACTTGTTATTTGTCATATTTTATTTGAAATCGTAATACAGTTTTATAACTCAGATTTGAATGTCATCATACATTGTATGCTGTCCATGGCAAGCAAACATTTACATTTTTTTTTACTATAAATTTCTTTTAAAATATACTTTGTATTTTCTGTAGTGACATATGCAATAAATTGATACATTAAAAGTTTGATTAATGTCAAAACAGTTTGTATTCAATCTTTTAAAAATTTTTCTGTTATTGTGAAATCTATCATAGGACATTAAAGTTTCTTCTAATTGTTAAAATTCCCGAGTTTGCACTGAAGTGAATTTGATTCTACTAATGGTGTGGATAAAAAGTAGAATTTAGGTTTGTATTTCCTTCACCAAAAAAATCCTTCATTCATTTAATATAAGCTATTATCAAAAATATTTTATTTATCTAAAACGGCCAATGATTGCATCCCAAAGTATTTCTTTATTTGAATCTAGGCTCAAATAGATTTAACTGTCATAGTCCTGTTGCCTTCAGATTTGGTAAAGTGCTTTTTCAAAAAAATTCTGTTTTTTCCCCCTCTGTATGATTTCAGTATTGGTTAATGTTAGTGCTACTGACTTAGCCTTTAAGGGCCGAATCTAACCCTTGGCCAACAGGAAATGGTCCCTGGAAGTGGGAAGGAGCAGGTCATACTGCAGACCTTGGGTCTGGTCTGCAGCACAACAACTGAGCCCGAGGTAGAATAGATTTTCTCTACACATTCCCATTTCACTGTCCATCTCTTCCTTTACATGTTGCTGCTTCCTGAAAAATAAGGTAGATCTAGTTAGAGAATATAACTTTGGTCTCAACTGGGAGGAAGGGCTGGAGGAGAGGCTTTGTGAAACCCTACAAATCCAGGGCCTGGGTGTGGAAGGTGTTGATGTCACTGAGTCCTCGATGCAAACCTTGGGTTAACCTGTGGCCTCATTATATCAGACCCAGGCTCAGGCCCAGTAAAGCCCTCGGGGTCCCCCTGAGGGGAAGCCAGATTTTCACCTAGACTTCTGATTCTTAATGTTAACGATCCACTTGCTCATTCACTCAGCAAAACAATTTGGAAATTTTTCTTCATGTTGCTGTAGAATTGAAATGCTGAAATGGAATTGAAAGTGGACTCTGAGATCATTCCCGAGGAATTGCTCTGAAGAACTTCCATGAATGCAGTAAATGACATTTCCTTCAAAGCAGTTAAGTTTTCCTGCAGGAAAAGCTAGATGTTAACCTCACAAGCCTTGTACTCTTTCCTTGGCTTTATAAATAACCATGGCTCAAAAAATCCTAGATCTTCAAGTTATTGCTGGTACTTTTGAAACTCGCCTTTCTTTCCCAGTTAGGGAAAATCTCAGTAGATCTACAGTAGATACATCCCAGGAGATAAAAGAGTGACTTCTCTCCAGAGGGGCTTTGACGCATGGCTGAGTTCAAGGCTCCTTATGCAGTGACTGCGTGCTTCCAAACAGAACAGGTTGGACTAGGAGGGGTGAGCAAGGGAGAAGCGCAGCATCTAGGGACATCAGGGAAGTGTTATGGACACCTAGCTCTCCGGCGCATCATCTCATGCCTGATGCTTTAGCTGGAGAGCGGCTGCTTTTCCACCTCTCAAGGGTTCTGAGTCTCAGACACATTCATGGTAGCTCCAAGCAACACTTTTCTCTCCTTGCTGAATACCCATTTTTGCACTTGATACTTGTTATATTCAGTTTAGTTCCTTATTACATACTCTTGTTTTCCTTTTGTGTGTCTTGCTCCTCCAACAAGCCAAACTCTGACAGCACTATCCTGATTCTTTTCTGTCTTATCTAGCACTTAGCACAGTGCTAAGAAATTCATACTCATCAACTGTAAAGTTGGTCCAAACTTTCCTCTTTAAGAAGAAATGGAGACCATTACTATATTTAAGGTATGTATATGTTTACTTAGTTACGACTAAGGTAAGGATTCAGACCTAGACCTAGACCAGTAAATCTTGAAGGAGACACATACAGATCCAGAATCAGTGAAATAGTAATGTAGGGAGTTAAGTCACTTCAGAAAAGAAAAGGAGCAATCATTTTACAGGTCACGTCACATGAGGAATCTAAGCTGAGCGGAGTAGAGTCAGGAAAGAGCAGAGATGGATGTGGAATCGACAAGATCAGCCAGTGGCAAGCAGGAAGCCGCGTAGTGGCCCTTAGAACTGGTGTTTAATGAGGTCGACAGAACCCGAACTAAGGTCAGGAGGCAGATTGGGAAGCCAGAAGTTCCTGTTCCAGGCCATAGTAATTCTGCCCCAGCTTTGATCTCTCCAGTCCCTTTTTAACCCTGTACTTTTAGCTCCCCTTTAAAAAACATCAGTATCATAATCACCATTAATTTTAAAACGAGATGCCACAGACACTAGAATTAATGTAACTTACTAGTGTTTTCCCTGCTCTTCCTTTGTAGGGCATCTTTCTTGAAGTAAGAGTTCAAGGCTCCTTTATATGCAGAGAACCTGCATTCCTCCAAACACTGGTCAGACTAGCCTGGACTACCCAAGGGGAAGGTGGGGCCTGTAAGCTCTAGAGTCAGCCAGGAACTGGAAAACTAAGTGCAACCTTTAACCCCCAATAGGATAGATTAGGAAGTGGGGTGCTTGGGAGATACGGTGTTTAGTTCATGACAGATTAGCGCGCTTGGAAAGCAGGAGAGCTAGCCCTCTGCCGTGTGAAGACAGGATAGCTGTCTAAAACCAGGAAGCAGGCCTGTTGGCACTGTGATCTTACACTCTCCACCCTCCACGACTGTGAGAAATAAGTTTCTGTACATTTAGCCACAAAGTCTATGGTACTTTGTTGTAATGGCCCAAATTGAGTAAGAAAGCAAACAGGCAATTTTTCCTTCAAAGTGGACCTGCAGATGAGTGAAAATGAATTTCTTTTAAAGTCCTTCATCCTCCCAACTTATTACTGTCTTTCACCATTATTCATTTACCTTGTACTTAAGCCATTAGCAACTTGAGTGATAGCCACGTGGACGCCAAGTGTGCAGTTTCACCCACTAGATCATGGATGGTGAACCTTTTAGAGCTTTCAGTGATAACAGCCTACTGTGGCATGCCTGCTATAGGTTTGCCACAACTGCACTAGATTATAAATTTTACAGATGTGAGAACAATTCTTTCTCCTCAGTGGAGAGACCAATGCTCTTGGACACATCATTGGGATTCTGTAAACACTTAATGAATGAGGAATTTTAGTATATAGTAAGTTCTCCACTGCATGATGATAGTCATGGAAAACAGGTGAATACTTTTGCACCCCAGGAAGCTGGAACTCTCACGAGTCTGTGGAGTCTGTTTTTGCATCACAGTGCCCAAAACATGGAAAGGGTACAGTGTACAGGTCAAAGTTGAGTAGGTATTAAAGTTAATAAAGGCCTGGTATAAATGATAGCTATACTTATTAAAATCATAACCAAAACATTTTAGTCATTAAAATAACCATTAAAGCTCAGGTTATAGCATATTTTATTTACTAGAATACAAGATAGTTGGGGTAGATAGCTAATTTTGGGTTCTGTTAAAGTTTTCTGCAGGGAATTCGGACTTTTTCATATTCAAATTTACTTCCCATTTAGTATAGGTAGATAGCATATCTTTATTATTTGTGCTCTGTTTTCTAAAGGGAGAAACTAAACGAATCTAAAATATAAGCCATTTGTGCTTTAATAGTACATTTGATTTCCCTTGTTAGAATAATTGATCCTTGGAGCCTCAAATTCAAGAAAACATATCACTGAGTAATTCATTGCCCTTTATTTCTTACTTGTATGAATAAAACTGGAAGAGGAGAAAGGCAGAAGACAAACCTACCTAAGAATTTCTTCATAACAAAGTTATTTTAGCAAAATGTGTTCTACCGAGAGACAGAAAAAAGAAATTTCAGGGACTGGGAATACTGGAACGTGAGAAAAAGCACAGACTAGATTATAATGTAGCTCTAAAGTAGCTTGCTTTCTTATCTTCTTTGGTATTAAAAAGCCTATTGCATTTTATTGAATTTCCCTTCCTGCTGAATCTCTTGCTTTTCTAAAGATCATAGGAATTCCCCAGCTCTGTTCTTTATGTTCTACCTACCCACTTAAAAATGTTTCATTTTCCTGTTTCTTTACTGGCTTCTTTTATACAATCATGAACTTACAGAAAAATTAGAGGTACGTTAAAAAATAACTTTAAAAAGTTCATCTTGCAAATAAGTTACCAAGCTAATACACTCTTGCCCATGAAAGTGTCATGTGTATATTTCCTGAAAGCACTCTCCCAAGTGCCTACAATTCATTCCAACCATTAAAGCCAAGAAGTAAACACATACATGGCCACCAATGAATTCGCATACATCTTTCAAATCTTGCCAGTTATCCCAATAATGTCCTTTATAGTCAAACTGAATAGTTTCAAACCACATGTTGCATTTAGTTGACAGTTCTCTTTAGTTTCTGTATTGGCTGAACAGTGGCTTTGGAGACACCAGGGTCTAATCCTGAAAGTCTATGCTACCTTACAAAGAAAGGATATTTCCAGACATAATTAGATTAAAGCTCTTGGGAAGAGTGTCCTGAGTTACGTAGGTAAAGATCGCTGCTGTCCCATGAGAAGCAAAGGAAAGTGTAGCATACACTGACAAGAGAAAGGTATATGACAATGACAATGGAAGTAATTACAGCAATGAGTCCACAGGCCAAGGAAGTCAAATGATACCAGGAGACATGAGCAGGATGGATAGATTCTTTCCAAGAGCCTTGAAGAGTTGTCCTGATGACATCCAAAACCGTCAGAATGAATTTTTGATGTTTCAGTTCTCCGAGATTGTGGTAATTTTTTTTTTTTTACAGCTTTCACAGGAAACTGACACAGATTTTGACACAAGGAAATAGGGTGTTGCTATAACAAACATCTAAAAATAGATGGAATTGGATAATGAATAGAGGCTGGAAGAATTTGGCTAGGTATACTACAAAAAGTTTAGATTACTTTTTGACAAATCTGTTGGTAGAATTGTAATCATAAATGTGCTTCTGGTAAGGACTCAAAAGCAAGGAGGATGATCGAGAAAGCCTATGTCAATGTGACAATGCAGAGAGAGCTAGCGCAGCCTGGACGACTCCAGTGACCTTATGTGGTCCCTTTGATTTGAGTATCACTGGACTCTGCCAAGGGCCTGTGCTTTGCAGTTATAATACAAAGGAGGCAAATTGAGCATTAGTTTAGCTTAGAATTACCTTTTAGAACATCATCAGGTGTACATTACAAATCAGGAGACTCTGAAATTAAAGAGCCTTCAACCTAGTCTATGTTATTTCAAATATAGAACTACCAATTTAAGAATTTATAGTGGGAAAGCCTTTATAAGTATTTTCATCCATCTTTAAGAATTTTTAATATAATGATGTAGTTTATAATCTGAAGTTGATATGAAAATGTTTCTATCCACAGTGTCTTCCTAAAAACCTCATTTTTCCCAGTTATCATCTTAGAAACAACTGAACTGCTATTGAAAGTAACTCATTACACTTTAGGGAGCTTTTTGGTTTGAGGGCATTTTGCTGATTGGGAATTTGGTCTCCTCATATACAAAATGAGTTTGGCTCATTGGGTCTAATGGTCTTTCAGCAAGGATTGACTGTGATTCTAAGTATAGGGAGATGTAAAGCCATATTAGATTTCCATAATATTCAAAAGCAGATACTGTCTTCTTACAAATATAAATATTTACTTTGAATAAAAAATCTCATAATTATATATGTGTTAATTACACATGTGTATTTCTTTGAATAAAAAATCTCATAATTATATATGTGCAATTACATATGTGTATTTCTTTGAATAAAAAGTCTCATAATTATATATGTGCCAGTTCAACCTTTGTTTCCACGGTTATTTATCCAGTCATGGGAAATGGAAGACAACTTCTTAGCAATGTTAAAATGGATGTGTTTGGATTAGTTTAAATATTACAAGCTACATGTATGAAAGGATTAAAAAAATTTCTATTTTCATGTGTTAATTGGACATTTAAATTAGCAAGTTATTCTCAGACTGACCGCAACATTAATGTTGATAATTTGAATTATACTGTATCTAACTTGGATTTATAGACTCAGTTTCACTAATAACACTTTTCTGGGTGCTGAAACACAAATCTTATTACCTGGGTGACAGGTAGGGTATAATCATGCAAAAATAGTAAGAAAAAAGAGACGTCAACATTATATTAATAACTTCTTCAATATTGTATAAGCCATAGACAGTACAATTTTAAAGTGATTTTCTAACTACATTTTCAGTTAAGCTAAACAAAACTGAATATTCCTTATTGCACAGAAGAAGTGAAAGCATAAATATTTCAGGGAAAATGTCAATATTTATGCTGTTCCAATGAAGATGCTTGGGGTCTACTTCTAGTGTGGCTGGGCCAAACTTCTGCTAGATTTATCCAGCAGTAAATTCCTAAGCAAGATCAGCATTTGAAAGATGGGTTGTCACTGGATTATTTCTTATTTTTTAAACAGTATTTGTCTCATCAAATAAAGAATATCAGAAAGGAATTATTTTTGAGAAATGAACCAAATGGGAACTCTAGAGTTAAAAGGTACAATATCTGAAAGGAAAATTTTGCTAGAAAGGCTTAATAATAGACTCAAATTAGTGGAAGAGGTATTAGCAACTTGAATATAGATGGAAAGACATAACAAAATCCAAAAGAGAGGGAGAAAATGAAGAAAAGTGAACTGAACCTTAGGGAATTGTACCAATGTATGCATAGTGAGAGTACCAGAAAAAGAGGAAGAAATGGGCAGAAGACTGTCCAAAGAAATAATGTTTGAAAACTCAGAATTTTATGAAAAGTGTCTGTCTAATACCTTCAAATTCAAAGATCTCTACTTAGGATAAGCACAAAGTGATCCACCTTGGAAACAGTAGAATAAAAATCCTGAAATAAAGAGAAAATGCCAAGAGCAGCAAGAGCAAAACAGCACATGCACACGAGTAAACTCCAGTATCGACAGCTGAGTGACCGTCAGAAACAGGGGAAGACAGAGACACTGGGATGACCTAGTCAAAGTTCTGGGAGAGCCACCAAAGAACCTCGTATTTGGCAAAGCAGAAAGGAAGGTGATAAAAAATGTTTCTGGAAAGGGAAACAGAAGTTACTGCTACCAGCCCCACCTCACAGGAAATACTAAAGGAAGTTATTCACTCTGAAAGCAAGTAATAGTTTACGGCAATTTAAATCACACATAAGAGCAAAAGCATTGGTAAAGATAGTTATGTAATTAGAAGAGAAAGTTTAAATGTATATTTCTTCTCCTATCTTCTCTAAAATTATCTAAAACGCCATTGTAGGACTTGTGAAGTCGCTCTAGTAGAGTGTTTGCCTATTATGAGCGAGTTTAATCCCCAATCCCTCAAAAACAATGAAATAAAATAAAAACCCATTGTGGAAAACATGTATATGATTGTGCTGTTGGTCTTATATAAGATATTTGACGATAACAAAACACTGAAATTGAGTGGAAGTGAACCTGGATTAATGAATGACACCAGGTAGTATAACAAACTACACAACTAAACTAAAACGTACTTTTCCCGAGAGCTAGTATAGGTCTTCATTTCTCACACCTACTAGTGCATTCCGTTCGGCCGTAACAGAATACTATACCATTTCAAGCCCACTTTTTTGTTTTGCTTTTGTGGATTTGAGTTACTATCTGGTGTCTTTCTGGAGGCTGGGAAGTCCAGTCAAGAGGCTGCATCTGGTGGCCGCCTTGTGACTGTATTTTCCATGGCCGGAGGCAGCAAGGTGAGACAGAAGGTACAGGAGAGTAAGAGGCCAGACGCACAGCCTCAAGCCCATGCACAGCCTGCATGAATCCGCCCACCAGGGCAGAGTTCCCCCAGCCCAGACCCCACCCAGTGGGCCCAGTTCCCCCCCACTGCACTGGCAAGCTTTTAGCTCTTTCTGTGGATATTATTTCTCTTCCTTCCCTGTCTGGCTGGCTCTCCCATTATGCATATGTTGATGCAATTCTCCAAGGCTTGTTCTCAGTTCTTCATTCCTTTTTCTTGTAGTTTCAGATCATATTATCGCTATCCCTGCACCTTCAAGTTACTGATGCGTTCTTCTGCCAGTCTTACCTTGGGTAGTAAGTTTCCATTCTGTGATTTTTGTGGGACACATTTAGACCATAGCTCACACTGTGATAACTTCTTAAGCTTTGTGTGTTTGTCCATTTTCTGTTGCTATAACAGAATGCCTGAGAGTATGTAATTTATAAAGGAAGGATTATTTTGGCTCAAGGTTCTAGAAATTCAAGAACATGGTGCTGGCATCTGCTGTGTTACTAATAAGAGTTCAATGGTAGAAAACAAAGGAGAATGTGTAGAAGAGGGGCTCATGGGTGAGAGGGAGAGGTGGGAGGTGCCAGGCTTGCTTTTGCACAGTGCCCTCAGGAAAGCAATCCAGTCCTGCAAGAGCAAAAACTCACTCCCACAGAAAAGGCACTGATCCCTCTTAACGACCTCCTGAAGATCAGGCCTCCACAGGAGGGGATTTTTGGAGGGAAGAAACCATATTAAACCACAGCTGTGTGCATGCCCTCTTTGAGCTGCAGAGTGCATGGCCTACAAAGGTTTACAAAGTGAAATATATTCCCTTGTGTGAAATGGTGTGATGCTCACTGAAGGACTCTGACCGCCCTGTCTGAGCCAGGCAGCGATCACGTGACCCCCACTGTGCCTGTGTCCCTGCTAGAAATGAGAAATGTAGACTCAGGGGCTATGAGGCTCTGTAGCCGTGGTGCAGTCCATGACTCCCACCACCACTCAGCCCTGCGCTTGACACGTAGCCACAGTCCCTGTGCACTCTCAAGCTGGTCCCTAATGGTAAGCACAATGGCTTTTTGTGAAACCATCCCTCCTTAAGCCCATGACCCTATAAAAAACCCTATAGCCTGGACGAGAGTGGCTGGTCTGGTCTTGAGTGCCAGCGTGGTCCCTCTCAGGTTTGTTCTGAAATAAACCTGTCCCATGAGCTCTGTTTCTTTTTCCTTTTCTCTAACAATTACCAATTCACAAATCAATGATATTAAACAGCAATTGAAGAATGACTTTTAAAAATGGTTAAGATGGTTAATGCTGGCCTGAAGATAGATCTCAGTGGTAGGTTGCTTGCTTAACAAGTATAATATCTTGAGTTGAATTGTCAGCACCACAAAAACAAAAAGTTTTTGCAGGATTGGGGAATGATCCCAGGCATTGGCATTGACCCATATTCCCAGCACCCTCTGCCCCTGACTTCTTTTAGTTTTTGTTTTGAGACAGTCTTGGTAAGTTGCAAACTTTCCCAGGGTTTGTTGGACCTGGTGATCCTCCTGTCTCAGCCTCCCAGATTATAGGGATTATAGGTTCATGCCAACACTTCCAGTCATAAATTTTATGTTAGGTAATTTTAATACAATTTTTTTAAATGCTGAAAATTGATTTTTTAAAAGATTTTTAAATTAATGTTTTAAATGTGGAAATATTTTAATAGTCATGAGCAGGGCACAGTTTACTGATTTCATTTGACTGGTTACCCTTTGCTGATCATTGCTATTGCTGGTGGATCAGTGGTCATGGGAATGTCACGTGCATTGTGCACTCCATCTTGGGTTTCTTGTCCTGCGTGAAGAAATAGGAAGGATCTGGATTATGTTTAATTTTGAAATTGTTGGAAGCCCATCATTCAGTTTAAAATATGTAAACAACTGTAGCCATGAGATAACAGAATATGCTTTTGGTTAGAATTCTGGAAATCACCCCTTTTTTATACTAATGCTAGAACAGAAAAAGGCTTATATTTAAAATGAATAGACAAAAAAAGTCAGCAAGTTTATTTTACATTCAATGAATGCAGATGTGATTAACAGTAAGTATAGTTATGAATTTACTAACTCCTATATATGACACGCTTCTACAAGTATCTAAGCTAGTTTTTATAAGTTTTCATACAAGATTGTACTTCTGTAGGCAATCAACCTTGATAAAACAATTTGAGATGCAGTGCCTAGCTTTATGTATTGTAGCAGGAAAACACAAGAAAAGAAGTCGTGGCTTGCTAATAGAGTACTAAACAAAATAGAACTTGAGTTTACTTGAGACTGTATAGCCTCTCTCTAGGATAATGAAACGTCCATGCATTTTCAATATCTAAGTATGGTAGATCAGTTTCCAAAATAACTTTATTTATTTTATGTTTTTAAAAGAACATCTTTGCTTACAATCTGTATTAGGAAATTTTCCATCATCATAACAAACTTCTTGAGACTAGGAAACTTTCTAAAGAAGAGAGGTTTATCTGTCTCCTAGTTCTGAAAGTTACAGGGCCTCTGCTTTGTTCTGATGATACGCTTTTAGTGGATACCTTCACAGTGCCTGTGGCAAGCTGATCACATAAGACAATAATGACAAAACTAGTATGTTTTGGCTATTTTTGTAAAACAGAAAGAGAAATCACACACAGACCTTAAAAACATACAATTAGCCGGGGATTTAGCTCAGTGGTGCGGTCGCCTGTCTCACAAGCACAAGGTCCTGAGTTCAATCCCCGGTACCAAAAAAAAACCCCACAAAAAAAACATACAATTAACTACAGATACAAAGGAAAAAGTCAGGCACGAAACTGTAAAAATACAGTTAATCATAAGTACAAAAAAGTTGAAAATGAGATAAGAAGCTATTGTGTGGGGCTGGGATTTAGCTCAGTGGCTCTGCCATCTGCCTCGCAAGCTCAAGGTCCCAAGTTCAATCCCTGGTACCAAGAAAATAAAAAAATAGAAGAAGCTATTGTGCATAGATCTATCAAATAAAATTGAATGTCTTCGAAATGATTTTACACAATAGAATTGAAGCTCCGTAAGAGAGGAGGTTCCAGCTTTTTTCTTGCTACATTTTCTTTTTCATTTTCTCTCTTTTTCTTTAATTGATTGACCCAGTACCCAGAACATTATTAGACTCAATGGTCAAAGGAGAAATATATGTATGCTTCAATTCCCTTATTTTTACTGCGTAAATTTGTTAATATTCTTTTATTATCAACTCCCCCTCTGTTATAGCTCTAGAAAGGCAATATTTTTCATTTGTTTTTGAAGCTTTGTAATTTTTTCCTTTATCTTCCTACAATCTATCAATTTTATAACATTTCAAAAAGCAAATTTTTACCCTCTATATTTATAGTTATTATCTATTAGGGTTTTTTTTAATATCTTCACTTCTACATTTAGGCTTTATTTACTTTCACATCTCATATTTTTTAGAACTTCATGAACTGTATGCTCAGTTTATTGCTTTCCATCCTTCTTTCCTAAAATATGCAATTGAGGTTATTATGTTCCTATAAAATGACCTTCAAGTGTAGTTCACAGTTGTGATACGCTTTATTTGCAGTGTCTCACAAATTTTTCTCTGCTCAGGGATTTTCCTCACCGCTCCTTTGGGGCCAATTTTCACCACATGGGCTTCACCCACGTGGACTTTCTGGGTGCATCCAAACGTGTGTAGCCACAGGAGGGTTAGGTCCAGATCTGCACCAACCGAGAAGAGCCACATCATCATTTTAAAAAGATGCAAGTAAGCTGAGTATAAAAGTACAGTAGATATCAGCCTAGTCAAATGATATATATATGTTATCTTGCACTGAGGCAGAAGATGAAGGGGAACCCTGTGGGGTAGGATCTTGCATGAGACGAACCCTTTAGCAGGCAACAGAAAGAACACGGTGCCGTATCGTTTGTTAGTTTCTTAAGTACTCTGTTCAGACTTGGCGTCAACAGGCCTGCGAGACTGGAAGGATTGTTCCTAGCCTGAGCCAGACACATGGGACACAAGGACACACACACTGGTAGTGTGCTCACACCTATCTGGAAATAACATTTCTCTCCCAAGGAGGGAGGCAGCCAGCCCCTCCTTGTAAGAGATGGCATGCATCTGAGTTCATCTAGCAAACACATGCATCTCGCTGACTCTCATTATTTTAACTTTTTCCTTGACAATAATTGAAAAACTGTAGGAACTTTCTTTAGGTCCTAAAATACATTCCTACAATTGAATCTTTCTAAGCCCTCTACAAATTTGCTAAATTCCAGCTGTCTCTGTCCCTGTTTTGCTTGTGTTGAGCACACACTCTCTCCCATGAGTGCCTGGCTCTCCCAGCCATCTGCGTGGCTGTCTTCCATGGCTCAGGTGACAGGAAATCTGGCCACCTCCAACATCGTGGGGCAGCACTGAGCTGGCAAGGAAAGGCCCAGCCTACCGAGGGAGCCCTGGGGGCTGCTTCATTTCCCCTGAGTCCTTCCTGAAGGCTCCTATAAGTGGACCCCCACTAAACTCGGCACACACACGTGAGACAGATGGTGGCCTGCTCATTCTTTCTGTCCTGCACCCACTGAGACTGGTCTCAGACACAGTATCATAAACTCTTACATTGGAGGAAAGGGACTCACATTGTTTTTCTCTGTCTAGAACCAACTCGAACCTAATGCCTCACTGACATCCAGTTACTGCTGGGCTCCATTGCAGTTTGGCTCTGAACGCAGGTTTACATCTGGCTGTGAAGGAGAAGACAGGTGAATTCATATTGCATTGTTTTAGGAATACCCTGGACTTGGTTTCTATTTTAGTTTGAGATGTTTCCCTTCCTACATTAATAGCCACGGTTCTGATTTCATATACTTGCTTCTGAAAAAGGTAACTAAATTTACTCGCGTTCCATGCAGAAAAAATGAACTAATTAAAGACACCTTCATATATGGGCGATTTAAAAGATGTTGTTTTCTTAAACAAGTTATCAAAGTAAATATTTTATAAAAATTAACTGTTGTCCAACTGAAGAAAGGAAATAATTACTTTCTTTAGCTTATGCCCTTTTCTTCTAATAGTGGACTTCTAAAAATGTAGGCATTTGGGAAAATTCTAAAAGAACATAAAAAAATGTGCTATGTACAATTCTTTGGTTACAGAAATACAACTCTCAAAGTACAGACTTAGAATCTCATTGGGTGCATTCACATCTAATCAGGTCTCACGTTGGCCCAGCCAATAAGGGAAAAGCTTGATGCAAACAGCGAACATGGAGAGTTGTGAATTCAGCAGGACAGCAGTGACTTTAGAGACCCTCGCCCCCCCCCCCCAGATCCTGCCTCTCTCAGCATTCCGCCTGGCCAATACAGGAGCAGCACGTTGCAGTTCTAGGTGGCCACACGCAGACTTGAAATGTCCCGTGTACTCTGTCTTTTTCTTGCATTTCTTCCTCAAAATTGAGGAGCCCTCAGGAAACCATCTCATACACAAGGGCTAGTAAAAAAAAATGTGGTGTCTAATTGCCATTAATCACCCTCAGATCACCCCCACCCCTGGCTTCAAACACACTTATCCCATTGTTCTTGTCACCTTCTGAAGTAGATCTACGAGTTCTCTTTCATGAGTGTCTTTATGAGGTATGATAAAAAATATATAATGAATGCTGCTGCCAAGTACCATCCAGTGGAAAAGTAGGCTCGTAAAAGCATCTGTCTTATCAGATCTGGCACTGTGTGAATTCTGGCTCTTTCTTAAAGTCCCAATGACTATGAAAAGTAGATGTTCTGAATCAATTCAGGACACTCAGGCAGCCATGACAGCGCAGCTAAAGACACAAAAGAGAACTTCCAGAGTTGCTTTAGAAAGTGGCAAGAATGATGTCTTTTGTTCAAACTGGGGAGGGGGGGATTTTGGAGGGATCAATGGCAGTATATCTTTTATTGGAATACTTTTTAAACTTACATATTCACCATGTATTTTCCGATCATGCCTTACATGGAAGAAATTCTTGCTCATCCATCCAACCTTGCAATTGATGGATGCTGATGTAGATGGAGTCACCATGAGTGGATTTCAAAAATGAAGCTTTTCCTGAAGTGTGAGATCCCGTCCACCTCCTGCAAAAGTGGACAGATATCTGAACACAGTCCACTTCAGGACTTGAGGGAGGCAGGAAGGAGATGGTGGTGAAGGGGAAGGGTATTTGTGGCTTCAGAGCCTACCCTCTTCCTCTCACTTCTAACATCTGCTAGGTAAAATGTCAAATAAATTTAGATATTCACCAAGTCTGCTTTATTACCTTTTAAAGGTAGAAGGGATTGAACAGGTAACACTTCCTGCATAGATAAAATTAAGTTAACATTTCTTCAATGTTTCTGAGAAGATCCCATCTGACCAGGTGTTATTGGCATGTCCCCATGAGTCCTTGCCCTTTCTGTGTTGAAAAGTAGAAAAAGTCATTCACATATATGACAGAAGCACACGATCACATGGGCTGGTACACGTTCATCTTAATATCGGCAATATCCTTGTCTGCACTGTCTAAAAAATAACAAAGTAAATCATACTCTACAGGGAAATTGTATTGAAGTAAGCAGAAATTTCTTTAAAACGTGTTTAAACACTGATTCATGAGCACTCTGAAAAGCAATTGCACAATAAATTGAGAACATAACCACAAACAGACCTGATATATAAAACCCTTGGGTTTAAGTTTCCCAGCAGTGACAAGACTTCAGCCTCAACAGATGCATTCACACATCTCCTTTTTATATTATCATTAGGAAATAGAAAGGAGCACTCAGCCCCCTACGTTATCCTTCTGTGTAAGAAATGACCTCAGTATTTTTATTTTAAATAACATGTCATTACTTTGTAGTTAAAACGACATGGAGTGATCAGCATTTAGCCTTCCAAGTCAGATTTAACTAAAAATATAATAGTCACTGACTGCTATATATATATACATATATGTGAGAAAACAAAATGATTTTTTATTCGGGGATACAATGATCATTTGTAGCAAACCATTCCCTCTGTCCTGAGCATTTTTAGCTGCCAGTTTTAGGCAGGTTTCACATTGAGAAGAACTGTTGTTTCTGTACTCGGAGGACCAAATCCTCCTGGGAGACTCTTCTTTCCCCAAAGAGGATACAGCAAGAACCCCCAGACCTGTTAGTGCTGCCAGCCAGAAACCTGTAACGAAGCTTTCTAAATATTTTTGAAATTGTCAGTATAAGAAGCAATCATCAGGGCATGAATATTTGTCTTGTCCTGCAGTTAGGTCCTCTGGAAAAACCCAGGGCTTATAATCTTTTCAACCCTATATCCTGCTCTCGGGTGGGCAGGATGGTCCCACCGTTCCTGCTTCACAGCATCCGTGCCATTCCACAAGGCCTGTCTTGCAGAACGAGTGCTTCACAAATGCCTGCCAAGCTACGGACAGTGCTGAATGGATTTCTGAGCTTCAGGTCTAGTACCTTTTCCTCCCTGGACAGATGTGTATGGTATTTTATTCAACAAATATGCTCTTTGTTTAACAGGTAAAATGATTATCAAACCACTTCCTCTGGTGGAAACAGGTCTCTGATTTATAGAGTAATAACTTCCTTCCGTACATCGAAGAAGAGATTCAGGAGCCATGAATGCTGCTTAGATTTCTCCCTGTGTGCAGAGGAAATGTCCTCGTGCGGGCCCTGTAGCAGACATGCAAGTAGAATTCCACTTCCCTGTGTCCTGGGTCAGACACAGGGCACCCGGCCACCTTTCCAGGAAGAGGCAGCGGCCCTTCTGCATAGGACTACCCCTTGCACCAGCCACCCATGGTGCTTGCTTCGAAATGGCCTGAGAAGACTCTGGTCTGGTCGGGAACTTGTCTGGAGGTGGTCGGCCAGGACAGTCTCTGCTCAGTAGAGCAAGGAGTGCCGAGTTCATGCTCCCAGGCAGCTGCCTAACTGTCTGCATACATGTTGCTGAAGAATACGGCAGAGGTGGCAGTCTTCTCGGTCACGTGATTCCTGTATGCATTAGGGTAACATGAGCACAAGCAAGTGCACACACACACAGTGTGAGTCTTGATTACTTCCGTGTCACGGTTTGATGCGCTTCCCAAACTGATTGCATCGGCCACTGCAAAGCCCCCCTGCATGCTTCACCCGATTTAGCTGCAGCGGGACAGTGACAAAGAACCGAGTTGGTGACATCTGACCCAAAAGAGCCTACATGCACGTTCATCAAAGAAGACTTCCCCATGAGAAACTAGCAGATTTCTGGGAGTCAGTGAGGATACGGACAAGCTGTTCTGAAGGGTCTTTGGAACTAGCAGAGGTGGAGAGAAAAACCTAACAATCCCCACAGGTAAAAGTGACAAGGTTGATGACATCCTTGGGGGAGGAAATGAGCGGGGGATACGGTGACACTCGCTGAAAATGGGGGTGTTGGCTGGAAACCCTGTGGCCGATCCGGGGGCAGTGGTACAAAGACGCCTGTGCAGTGGGTCTGCAATCACGGCAATACTTGGTTTGCTCTGTGATTTAATGAGTGACGGCGAGTGAAAAACACAAGCATTGTAAATGTAGTTTCACTGCCACCTCCCTGGAAGCCTTGCTCCAAACCTCAGGGACTGTGACTGTTACCCCCTTGTTTTACAGAAGGGAAACCGAGTCACACAGAGGTTCTCTAATTTGCCTAAGGAGGGCAAGAGGTGGAAGCAGCATTTGCAGCCAGCATCCTGGCTCGAGAGTCCTTGCCTCCCCACCCCATTATTACTGCAACTTTCTTCCTAAGGCTGTGTGGCGATGCGGCATGAGACAGAGCAGCCCCCAGCAGTCTGAGCACAGAGAGGAGCAGCGTCCTCTCAGGCCTGGGAAGGCCCCAGGAGCAGCTCAGGCAAAGCCACTGGAAACTGGTGCTGGTCCTGAAGCCAGCCAGCAAGACTGGCAAGACTGGAATGAGAGAATCAGGCCTGCACCCCAGGTCTGGCAGCAGACTGCAGACAAGTTCTGGACACCTTGCACCCTGCTTGCTAGCAGGGGCACAGTCCGCATGGGTATGCCCACGAGCTGCCCGGCGCAGCTGCTGGTGGAGTGGGGTGAGTGCGGCTGGACACAGGGCTAGTCCCTGCGGAAGAGGCGGGCCTGGAGGCTTCTGCTGGGGACAGCGAAGGGAGGGTCCCGGACCGGCTCCTGGAACTCCATCTCAGAAGGACACAGGTGACCGCGCCTCCCTAAACACGCAGACCGTGTGTAAAACACTCTCCCTGTCTCCTCTAAATCTGTCTCCACTCACCACTGCCTTAAGACCACAAGAGTAATCCATCCCCAACGGACTTTACGCCTCCTTTAAGGAAACCTCATTTTTTTTCTCACTTAAGGGCTGTTAATAAATCACCCTGCAGCAAAGCGCAGTCCAGTGCTAAAGCACTTGGCCCATCTGACCTTCCCATTAGTTATTTTTACGAGACCGCAGTGGCTTTCCGCGGTCCCCTTCCCCTTCCTTAGGAGCTGCCGGCCCCAGGAACACCGGGTTCTTGTCTGACCTCCAGGGTGAGCCCTCGCCAGGTGCCTGTCTTGAAAGTGCCCTCAGGGGTGAGCTGCTCAGTGGGTTCCCAGGGCCGCAAACATCCTCAGCCTCAGCGGGGACGTTTCGCAGATGGCATTAAAGTTCTTGCAAAAACTGAAAGTGAAATGGGGAAGGCGGGCGGATTGAGCAATCCAGAAGGGCAGGCGCCAGCCCGCGGCCGGCTCAGGGCGGGCAGGGATGCCCGGGGTGGGAAGGCGCTCAGGGGCGCGCTCATGCTCCCGGGGGAGTCGCGGCGGGTCCCCCCGGGCCGCTGAGGACAGGAAATGAGCCGGGCCCTGCGGTCGCTCACGCCGAGGCCCCGACCTACAAAGTGCGAGCGCGGAACGGATGAGCCCGCAGTGCGGTCCCGCCTTTTTCCCGGCCTGGAGGAAGCAGAGGAAATGAAGGCGGCGCGCGCTGCGATCCCGGCACAGCAGCGGAGCCCCTCGGCGCGCCCGTCCGGGACCTCGAGCCCGCTGCTGGCCGCGAGCCTGCTGCTGGCCCTGCTGTCGGGCGGCCTCACCGTGCTGTCCTTCCGCCGGGTGGCCGCGCTGCAGGCCGACCTGGACGGGCTCCGGGCGCAGCTGCAGGGCCCCCGGGCCTCGGGCGCCGCGGGCCCCACGGTGAGGGTGAGTGCGGGGTTGCGGCTGCGCCCGCCCAGCGCCCGGCCCGCCCGGCCCTGGTAACCGCTTTCTCTGTTGCCAGGGGCTCCTCGCGCCCGCAGCGCCGGGACGCAACTCCAGCGGGAGCAGCCGGCAGAGGCGCGCCGCGGAGCGCCCGGGGGCAACAGGTGGGTCGGGGCGGGCGGCGGGAGGGCGACAGGTGGGCGGCTGGGATCTGGACCGGCCCGCGCCTAGGAGAGGGAGGGAGAGGGGGGCGCGGGGCGCGGGTCCACGCTCCCCTTCCCTGCTTCTCCGGAGCTGCCCGCCTGCCACTGCGGACGTCGCCGGGGTCACGCTGCGCGCATCGAACCTGGCGAAACGGTCAGTCTGGCTCTGTAACTTCGAGATGAGAAGTGTTCCCAGCGTGTATGAAATTGCGATTGGACAGATCCCCACTCTTGGGTCCTCTTCCTGCGGAAGACGCTCCGGCTCCCAGAGCTCGCGGGCCGGGGCGTCACGATTGCGCCCGCAGACCCACGGACGGGTCGCGCCCTTCCCGGTTTGCTTCCTGCGTGTTTGCAGCGCGCAGTGGTCGCGTTCCTCGTTCCTCGTGGTCTTCGTTTTTCTCAGGTCCCTTCCCTCTCCCGGTCCGTCCCCTTCCTCTCGGCAAGATCTGTGTCCTGTGCGGGGCGGACTCAGGGGGACGGGATCCCTTTGCCACGCACAGGAGCACGCGCGCACACGCTCGCGGTACTCTGACTCAACTTACTTTTTCATTCGCTGCCTTATTTATGAAAGATAATTCTTCCTTAATTCATAACATCGTAACTTTTCTGTGACTGATTAGTGTGTCTTTGGACCGTTCATGAAAAGCAATTGGGTTTAGGTATTTTTAAACTACACGCACATTTTTCCTTGCTTTAATATTTCAGTTGTTTGTATCTTTTGTAGTTTACCAGCTGTATTTTCTGCACGATTGAAAATGTAGCACATTTACTGTGGGATAGGCTTTTCTTCTCACTTTTACAATAAGCATTTCACCTATTTCTAAACAATTCCTTGTATTTGTGTTAAATTGGTATAAATCTTAGCATGGCTCTTCTTTTTGCCCTAATAGAACACGTAAACATTTTGTGCATCTCCTCTTTCTGAGGGATTGTATATTCAACATAAATTCCATGTTGTGGAATTTCTGAGGTGAAGATGACATGCTACATATTGTCACATTGTTTCTAAAATGAATTATAGATGATGCATTAAAACGTGATGTACAAGATTCCCACATCCTTACCATCATTTGGTCTTTAAAGACTTATTTTTGTATATAAAGAACTCTGAAAATATGAACTCTCTCAAAGCAAATGACCCAATCAAAAAAGGGACAAATGAACTGAATGGACAGTTCTCAAAAGGCCAGTACTTCCATGGAAAAGTATTCATCACCCTTAGTCCTTAGGGAGCTGCAAATCAAGATAACTGTGAAATCCCACCTCACCTCAGTCAGAATAGCCACCACCCGGCACACAAAATATAATACTGGGAGGATGCAGGGGAAAGGGAGCCTTATGCTATTTCTGGGAGTGTAAACTGGTACAACCACTGTGCAGATCAGCATGGCGAGTCCTTGGAGAACCAAAAATAGGAATTCCACTTGACTGGCTCTCATGGGTACACTCCCCAAGGAGTCAAAGACATCATAGACGGTGACCCAGACGTGCCTATGTCTATAGCAGCACAATTCACAGTCGCTCGACTCTGTTAGCAACAGCCTAGATGTCTGGCAACAAACAGATGAATAAAGAAAATGTGTATATGTAGAATGGTGCATATATATTAAACGGAATTTTTTCAGCCATAAAGATGAATGAAATGGTGTCATGTTTAGGAAGATGCATGGAACTTGAGACCATAATGCCATGTGAAGTAAGTCAGACACAGAAAGTTAAATATCACGTGGCTTCTTCTGTGAGACACCTAAATATAAATATACACGTGAGTAAAATAAAGGAGAGATGATCGGAAACCAGAAGGCAGACTTTTCTGGAAAGGAAGAAGGGGGGGGCAGGAAAGAAGTAAGGAAGAAGGGAGAAAGGAATCAAGGATGATCATGATGTTACATGAGTGCACCAGTTTCCTGAAATGAATATTGCTACTTTATTTTGCAAGCACACACTAATAGAAAAATTTATTTTATTTGCTTCTGTAGCTATAAAAATAGCATCTAAAATTTATTTTAATGTTATTTGTTCATTACTAATAATGAACATCTTTCTGAATATTTTGACTGATTATTTCTAACTGTATCTTCTGCTAATTTTTGTTTCTAATTGCCCATTGCCCAATTTTTAAAAGATTTTGAAAAAAACTTTTTTAATGAGACATTATTTAACAAAATATATATATTTTTTTGGTACCGGGGATCAAACTCGGGACCTTGAGCTTGCCAGGCAGGCGGCGGAACCACTGAGCTAAATCCCCAGCCCTGTTTAATAAAATTTTCATGTAAATATTTTCACAGAATTTTGCTGCATTTTAAAACTTGTACAGATTTTATATCAATATTAATGAAATCGTCTTTTTAAAGCGAAAAATAGACTTGCTCATGATCTCTTAAACAGTTTGCTCTGTTTCCTGTGGCTTTGACTTGATCATGACTTAATGTTTTATTTGGTTTTAACTTATTAGTCCTTTTTGTGTTTATTTTGTTGAATCATCATACTGTCTTTAACTTCTTCCTTTCCTTCTTTTAAAAAATTGTTTCCCTTCCAGATTGCTGCCTCAGCCAAATGTATTCAATGTTTCTTGTAAATACCTTTGTGTTTGAAAACTTACCCGACTGCACTCAATTCTTTACACACACATTACACGTATGTACAAAATATAGTGGTACCCTGGCTCACGAACTTAATTATTTCCATGCATTCTGGTCACAAACTGAATTGGACAAGAACCGAATCCAGTTTCCCCATAAGGTCAACATTGTATTGTGGAAAGAAGTAAGTGTGTGAACCGAGGTACCACTGTATTGTATATAGTATAATGTATTTGAGACTTTGTTTCTATCATTGATTTCTTATTCTATTTATTTGCCTTAACTAACTAGATTAAGTAATTTTGTATTGTAATAGGCTACAATATCTAGTAGGGTCTGGATTCTAAATATCAGCTTTAAAAATAAACGTTAACTTTCTAAAGGTTATACAGACTCATTTCACCAGATTTAAGAAGGAAAAAAGACATTTAGCCAAAATATCCTTTCTTAACATTTAAAAATTTCCTCCTATTTGCATGTTTTTATATACTTATGTTTTTAGGGTATCCAAAAATTGTAGGTCAATGAAAACATCTTTGTCAAATAATGACAATCTGCAAAAAGTTTAGAGAAAAGCAGATTTTAGCAAAGTGAATACAATTTACCCAGATTTCCACAGTCTGGATGTAATCCTTTCTGTAATTAGTCTTCTTTAAAATTCTTAATATAGTGTAAATATATATATATTTTAATACATGTATTATTTCAAGACATATATTACTGTATATTATATATTCATAACATTCATAGTCAGAGCTCCTGGGTTTGAAGATGAGGATTTCAGGACAGGTACTATCCACTACTCCTTGTTAATGAAATCAGCCTCAGTGTTGTTCCACATACTGACCTTCAGTGGAGGAAAAACTTACTTCGTTTAGCATTATGGCAAAATTAATGTTTATGCACCCAAGAAAGCTATCTGAAACACAATGATATATTTTCTTTCTCTGTTCAGTAGGCTTTCAATTTGGAATTAAGAGTAGTCTCTGGAGCTTAAATTTGTGTACCTTTTAAATTTGTATTTCCTGTCAAGTTGTTCTGATTTATTTTCTTTACACCTCGATAATCCTGGCCTCTCCCTTTCACGTTCAGAGCTTTCATTTATGTTCTTGGTGTCCATATGTGTTCCAGAACTGTGTATTTCCATGGGAATTTCATGAGCACAGTAGGGGAAGGGTGGACACAGGCCCATACTCCCAGTTCTCTAAGGGGAAAGACTGCTTTTTCTGAATTTTGAAACTTAGTGCTTTGGCTTGAATTTCATTTCTTAATTATTTTGTATTTCAAATTAAGGTTTTAATAAGTTTAATATATTTCAAAAGATCATTTGTGATTACAGTATAATAAACAGAAATTTGGGGAAATCCAGGATAAAAAAATTGCCAAATGGCTCATCATAGCCAAACATTCACTTTTAAGACCATAAGCGTCTCAATTTTAAAAAGTAACTGAAGCAATATGGTTTTGCAAATACAATACAATGCAATTTCTTTACAAGTGAGTTCATGATGGTTGTGTCACCTAACTATAGTTTCATTCATTCATTCATTCAAAAGAAAAAAACCCTAAAGATAAGCTTCCCAAGAGTCCATCAGGACATTGAATTCTTTCAAATGGGTTGCAACTGAACTAGGATAGTTTATGGGTAAAATCATTAACCTTTGTGTTTTCCCCCTTGTTAGTAAAGAATTAATTTTTTTTATTTTATTGTTACATTTTAGATACACATAATGATAACATTCATCATAGGGAATTTGTACCTATACATGATATATTTCACTTCTTTTTTCCCATTCCTCTCCCCTCCCAAGACAAAGTTATTTTGTTAGCTTTTTATGTATCATTTTTAGTGGTAATGTTTATTATAGTTGTCTCAGTTACAATAGCAAAATAATGGTGAAAATATGAACAATTCAAAGATATATAAACAAGAGTGGAAAGATTGCCCACATTTTATCTTTCAAATGATTATCATAAGCTTTTGGCTAATCTAAGTTATTTTTCTCCACTTTTGCATAAACTTCTTAGCTTAGTTCTAGAAAAGTTGCTAAGACAGAACAGAGTTGGCAAGGACTCCTCATCCTGCTTCCCCAGATGCTGAGATCTTCCATGACCCTGGAACTGGGTTTCAAGGAAGAAACCAACACCAAGGCTCATTGAGTAACTCAACTCCGGAACACCAGACTTTATGCAGATGTTTCAGGATCCATCCAGGATCCCATATGCATTGAATTATTAGAGGTTAAGCACTGCATTATTTTGAGTCTTCTTTCTTGAAATCCATAGACCAGCTCACTGGCAAAGAAGCAGGAGATCCTTACAGGTTTGACACCAGGCTGTCCTCTGCTGGCTTCCTGGCTTGGCTCTGCCTTGCAGAGCTGGACCATGAGTGTTGACAGCTTGCAGTGCAGAACTTGACCGCTAACCTGACACCCTCAGGCCCTCTCGAGCCTCTGACCCAGCTCCTTCCTGGAACCACTGGCCATTGCCAGGTGATCTCTGACCCCAGCTTCCCCGACTGCTATCTTTCTTCTCCCTGCTTCAGTCTTTCAATCCTGAGACTTCTGTTTTCAATGTTGCAAGAGCTGGCTACTGCTCAATTTCCAAAAGCTGTTTAAAATTGACCTGACAGCCAAAGCTGTGAACCCCGTTCTTGCTAAGCCTGAGAGTTTTGCGAAACAGAAGAACCAGGAAACAAGTCAGTTTATACAGCCAGATGTGACGCTGCCCACAAACTCTTTTGGTGTAGTGAACTGGGGAGAGAGAGGCAGGGAAAACAAGTAATGAGTAAATTACAATACTCAAAAGTGCTAATATACTGAAAAAGTGAAGAAGGACAGAGTATGAGTAGCAGCAGCGTGGAGGAGCAAGGGAAAGAGGGTGTACTTTATTTCACATGGAGAGGCTAGAGGAAGTCTTTCTACCTTCTTGAAAGATTAGTATGTTTTCAGACTTCCAACTTTTTTGTTATGCAGACATGAATCGGTGCTTTAGAATAAATGCATAATGACGCTCAGGGACATGTTGTTCTTCTTAATAATTCCATATGAATGGGTAATATTAGTTTTAATGTTTGCCTACTGTTTTTATAGCTCAGCTCCTGTGTAAAAGAATTGCACAGGACAGCGGAATTTTTGTTGTGGCATTTTCGTTTAAAAGTCATTCTCATTTTTGAAGAGTTAGAGAAAGAGAAGAAAGAGGGCCCCTTCAGAGTGGGTTGGTCACCACTGTTTGGGCAATGGCTGATGTAGAAAACACAGAGAAGAGAGAGCAGCTTATGCAGCAGCATTTCTCATGTGCAAACCCAGCATCAGCCGGAGGGTGAATTGTGCCGTTCACCCCTCAATAATCAGATTCTCTGAACTTTGTTGTCTTCATTTAAGTGAGAAAATGGAACCACACACAGACAGAGTCAATTCCCCTCTCAGCAAGCGAAATGTTTAGTTGGAGAAATTCAACAAAGTTAACATAAAACTCAAAACCATACTAAAATAACAATGAAATAAATAAGTTTCTTACAATTTACTACAAAGCACATCTAAATTATGATATCAATAGATTTCTTTTCAGTGCTAGAGATCCAACCCAAAGTCGTGAGGGTGCTTGACAAGGACTCTACCGCTGAGCTACAGCCTCAGCCCTCATATCAATTGATTTTGATAACACTATGAAGTATATATTATCATTTACAGAATGAAGACAAAAATATTTAAAGATTAAGTCTCAAACTCATGGTTATACCACTAATTGATAGGGCAAATAAGGTTTGTGTTCATTGCCTATTTATTATAAACTGATTCTTTTCAATCGTAGAAGCCATCTATGCCTGATTTTCAAGTAAGTCATCAAATCTGAGAAATGTTAGTGGGTTCTGGAGAGGTTGGAAGTGTTATTTTTATGATACTGGATTAGAGAAAGATCAAGTGAAAACAAAATAACAGAATGCTATTCGTTGTGATTACAGAAAGATTGTCTAGTCCATGGTCAATTAGAGCTGAAGTGGGTTTAGAAATTGAATAGGTTTGGGTAAGAGGACAGAATACCCCAGATTTTGAAAACATAAAGAAACAATTAGAGAAAAGTTCAAAAAGAGGGTTTATCATGCACAGTGGAAATATTACATGCAGACACTTCTAGATTTTTTTTTTACTCTTCTAAATATTTGAATATTTTCTGATTAGTGATCTGTTGAAGTGCTTTGCAAGTTCAGCTTTCATCCAGCCAAATGCAATTTTCATTTTCTTCCACTGAATACAGTAGATTCTATGGGAATAGAGATTATTTGGCTTTTGTCTGCTATCCTGAGCATGGCACTTCATAACCTTATTGTTCAGTAAGTTCAGTGCATGAGTTGAATGAGAGATGAAATCTAAATTCAACAAAAGTTAAAGATTCAACCACTTGAACATGATTGTTAGTTGAATTTCAGGTCTGAGGAGGAAGGAATAAGCATGTTCCTAAGTTTCTAGCTTGGACTATTCAGAGGCTAATTATACATCCACTAAGAGAGAGAATAGACAAGAAAGAGGAGGTGAGTGTACCTGAGGCACGTGACAAGTTAGACTTGGGGCATGCTGAAGCTGGGCATCATTACGGTACCCAGGTACGTGTCCAAGGAGAAGTTGGGGATGTCACAGCTGATTATACAATGTACTGGTACTTTTTGTAGACAAGGGTGCATTTCCCTTTTCGGCTTTACTTTCCTAGACCCCAGATTGGTTTGTATGTGGTAGTGTCAAGCTTCTGGTCTTTCTTCCCTGGCAAGTTATTGCTATCAGTACCTTCTGTATCTTTGTTATTAATATCTCCCAATAGCATAAGTCTCTCCCCCATGGTTCTTGTCACTTTCTGCAGCAGTTCTAGAAGTCCCTTTTCCTGAGCATCATTTGTGGCTGCCTCAATACCCTGAATGGATTCAAAATATTGACCCTTCATGGTTATTTTCAGCTTGGGGGAGAGCCAGAAGTTGCACAGTGCCAGATCCAGTGAATAAGGCGGATGAGAACACATAGCCATGCCTTTTGGAGCCAACCTTTCTGTTAGATGGCCCTGGGCAGCAGCATTCACCATAGTTTTGATCACATCTTGTAAAAACACTCATGAAAGAGGACTTCTGGAACTGGTTCTGAAATTTGCAAGAATGGTGGGATAAGTATATTTGAAACAAAGGGGGGACTTTGTAGGGGATTAGTTTCAATGTGTCTTTTATTGCTATAATTTAAAAAAAATATACACATTCACTCTATAGTTTGTTCACACCACATACACACAATGACAAAAGGAAGATGGGAAATTTGTAAATCTCCTTCTGACTTTCTTGGTGTGGGGAAAGATCAGAGTTCTGTGTGCTCCGCTCTGGCCGCCCTGGCAGTCATCCCAGAACTTGCCACGCTGCCTTGTGAATGGTAATGACTTTACGCAGAATTTGTTGGAAAAATAAGAATGCTTTTGAAATAGGTTTACTCTGGCTTCTCCAGTTACTGTATGCTTTGTGCTTAGCAGCTTCGAGTACCGGGTCTTTTGTTACTTTCGAGATGTTACTCATGACCATTCTGCCACATTATCATGGGGCTTTTACGGATTTTCACCGGAAGAGCACTTGCCGTAGGAACTGTGCTGTTAGACCCCACTTTCCCTATGACATAGGGGTGGCTGCCTTTGGTTCACAAGATGAGTGAAATAATCCACAGAGTAGATCCAAATGCACTGCTGAAATCAAAATGAAGGCCCGCATCAACAGAAGTTAGAAAAGTTCTGTGATTACAAAGAAATTTGAGTTTTGAGTATATTTTCATCTCTAAAGACCAAGGAGAATATTTTAAGACTTGCTTATGCCATCACCCTTCAATAGTTTGCACTCAACAGCCTCAGACTGCTGCATGGGTATTACTCTGTTATTCAAGTTTTAAATGTTAGAAAAATTTCAACTAAAGACTAACATGGAAGTTACTCATTGTGCCCACTTCTTAAAATGCATATATTGAGAAGCAGGTGTTTAAAGTGTTACTTCAGCTCTGAGTAGAACATGGCCTAATGCAAAATCTTGTCTAATACTTCTTTAAATTAAACCATACAAGCTTAGATTTAGGTCCTGTATTTCACTCAAATATTTGCTGGTTTTTCTTTTTTCTCCCTACACATACAACGGGTAATGTACTTAGTTTGCTTTTGCCTGAGATATTTCTTTATTTAATGCAATCACTTTTTATTCCTCTGAACATTTTTGAAATATTTCACGTTGTATGTAGAAGCTTTCCTGATGATGCAGCTTTGCAAAAATCTTACATTTTATTTTTAAAAGATATTCCTTCGTTCTCTCTTCCATCCAAAATATTTCACCAGAAAGTTTGACTTTGATTTCCAAGTGAAACCGAATGGATTTAAGTTCTGGTCTGGTCACTTTCTGTCTCTGAGGGCTTGAACAAGCTGCTTGCACTTCCTAAGCCTCAGTTTCTCCTGCCTAAATTGTAGGACGCTTTTTTTTTTTTTGGTACTGGGGATTGAACTCAGGTCCTTGCGCTTGCAGGGCAGGCAGCGGAACCACTGAGCTAAATCCCCAGGCCTGTAGAACGCTTTTGAGGGTGAAAGGAACTAAGGTATCCTGGACTCAGCCTCTCGGTGCTGTCTGCATTCAAATCTGCTCAGTAAATGTGAGCTTTTAGTATTATGTTCTGTGGTGGCGGAAGTCCTGTTTTCAGTAGCAGTAAATCAATGTTTAATGTCAGACTTTAAAAAAAAAGATTGTTTGGGAATTATTCAGTAGTTTAACTGTTCCATGTGTTTGGTGGACTTGGAAAAAATGCATAAACCTGCTTTCTATTTAACAATAATATTTCAAAGCAGATCAGATTCACCTGTATAGATGGCACGCTTGGTGTACTCAGACAGCCAATACCACTTTCTAAATTATCATGAATTTCAAACATATGTTGAACTAAATGGGAAAATTTTATAAAGAAACTTTTAGAGTAATATCTTGCAAAGATATTTACAAAAGTATAATTAATTGATTTAGCATTTCTGGGAGAAAACGTTTGTAGCTTTGTGTTTTCAGTCTTCTTAGCTCCTTACTATTTCTACTCTAGTAACCAAAATGATGTGTTTTTGTTTTTCAGTCACTCAAGACTGCTTGCAGCTGATCGCAGACAGCGACACCCCGACTATTCGCAAAGGTAATGAAATAGCTCCTGCACTTTTCCAAGGGGCATTCGGTCCCCGGCAGCTTAGTCTTGGAAGTCTGAGCTCTGCAGATTGTACTGGAACTGCCTCTCAGACTGGCCATCTGCTTCAAAACTGCTCAATATCACATTCAACAAAATAAAATTTATTCAAAACGACTGGGGAATAAACATTTAGACTAGCGTAATAATCTAATAAACAGAATTACCTCAGAGAAACTAATATTTAGAAGTTGTACATAATTAGATTACAATAAAACTAAATTAAATCAAATACTAAATCAAATTTAACTTATTTAGAAATCATTTTGGCTTCAACAATGATGTAAGATCCTTTTCACAAATTTAATTATTTATGTTTTGTTGTAGAAATCATAAGGGGATGAAAACTAAACTGAACATAGTCTATACACTATATTTTTTGTGACGATTCTCCAATGTCAAATTAATGCACAATAATTTATCATTTTCTCCTAGGAGTACAGTGTGTTAAACTATTTTAATTGTGTGAAGTTTTTGTTAGCTGTAATTATAGACAACTAAGTATTTTTTGTAATAATAGCCAGAAACAATGTTCATGGAGAATAAACTTTTTTTCTTTTTTTGGTACTGGGGATCGAACTCCGGTCCTTGCGCTTGGGAGGTAGGCGGCAGAACCACTGAGCTAAATCCCCAGCCCAAGAACAACCTTTTAATACCATTTCCAAAAAGGAATCACCCAGGATATTAATTCAGAGAAATAGGCTTTGGAAATAAGGGTTTTATTGTCAAATAAGTTTGGAAACATAGCATCCTATATATTTTTCTTGAAGAGTCTTGAGGCACATTAACAAATTATTGAATCTGAGAGGTCTGACTCTGGGAAAATAAATTCTTTTTTTTAAAAATCCAGTTTGCATAAATTCATGTGACCCTGCCACTCTAACCTGTCCCAACACCTCCTTGGAAGCAAAATATTTCAGTAGTTAATGTCCTATTGCTTCTTCTCTTTATACACAATAATTAATGAACAAAGATGTACCAGAAAAGGACAGTTCATTCATTCACATAGGTTCATTTGTCCACTTTACATGTGTGGTTTAGAAACAGACAAACTTCCAGTGCCTGGAGGGAAACCCAGGATTTGTGCTTCTCTACTTTGATGGAGGTTTGCCTTCTGATGAAGAGAAAACGGGGGCGTGGGGAAACCCTGCAAATGAACAAGTAAAATGCAGAATGATGAAGCGAATGCTGTGGGGGAATAAACCAGACAAGGGCAGGGGGATCTCTGAGTTGTGACCCACAGTAGGAGTCCTGGATTATCAGGAAAAGGGGAAAACAAACTCGCCAGTAATGAACGTGGATTCTCTTTCCTGGATGCTGTTCTGCATCTGTATTTTTCCCTGTAACTTTGATTATCCTAAATGTCAAGCAAGAACCAAACTCTTTAAAAATGTATTATTGTTGGGCCAGAGATTTAGCTCAGTAGTTCCGCCACCTGCCTTGCAAGTGAAAGGACTTGAGTTCAATCCCTGGTGCCAAAAAGAAAAAAAAATCGATTATTGTTTATTGCTGTACATTTCCCAAAATCCTCTTTGCAACTTTTGAAAGGCAGCGAACTATTTCCTAAGAATTAAAATAGAGCCAGCAGAATACCCTAAGGACTCAACATAAAATTAAAAAAAAAAAAGAAGAAAAGAATTGCTTGGAAACCAGCTTTCTTTACAAATGCAGAGTGATGTAGCTGCTACTCCCAGAGTGAGCATGACTTATCCCGAATATTGTGACCTTCTGGAGAGCTGAGTGGGGCCAGACTCGGGTGTGCTTCCCTGGGGTGCAGCCCCAGGGCGCTTGGAGCTCTAGCATCCATGGATTGGCCTTGCAGTGCCAGCAAAACCATGAACAGTGTTTACCTGGTAGTGTGCATGGACATTTTAGCGGGGAAACCGAGGCAGACCACATGTTGTTAAGAAAGGCTGTACTCAGTGGAACGTTTTCACATGCGGAAATCCATCAGGCCTTTTGGAAGTGGTAATACATTGTTATCTTGCTGCATTTGATGTAATCCCAGTCTTGAGCATGTATAACCCCAGTCAGGAGCAGAAATCCTGTTCCCCGTTCCTGAGGCATGAAGCTCCAAGGAGAGGACCTGTTTTCATCTGCTAGTTTGAGTCTCTTGTTGCCATGTCCCTTCTTAGTTTTGTTCAGGTGGCAAAGGAGGAGGGAGCGTACTCAGAGCAGAGAGAGGCAAGAGGGGTCTTGGAGTGGAGGCTCATACCCTCCTGCTTCTCTGTTTGGAATTTTCCTTTACGTTTATAAAGAAATAGTACATCCACATGTTGGAAACAAATTTTAAAGCACAAGAGTGTGTCGAAAGCACTTCCTCCCCTTCCAGGCTGTTCCTACCTATCCGCACTGCATGATTTTTCACTTGTATTGTTTCTTCTTTTTTTTAATTTTTTTATTATTTTGATTTTTTTGGTACCAGGGATCCAACTCAGGACCTTCTGCTCTCGAGGCAGGTGGTGGCACCACTGAGCTAAATCCCTGGGCCTGAGATGTACAAAATTTGAAGCCACCACATTTCTTACTGTTTTTAATAGCATTTGTTTATGAAACATATTAAAAGACTGGTTAGTAATTTAGTCTTGGGGTTTCTTTTAAAATGGAGAATAGGGGAACTAGTTAGGAGTTCACAAAGAATATTTCTGCATGATATGTTGACTCAATTCAAAAGACAATACCACATCAATCCTATAAACTATATATGAATTCCTTATTTTTTTTTTTTGTTTGGTACCGGGGATTGAACTCGGGTCCTTGTGCTTGCGCAGCAGGCGGCGAAACCACTGAGCTAAATCCCCGGCCCTGAATTCCTTATTTAAGATATTGGTTTACATTATTTTAAAATCCTCATTTCTTTAATAAGTACTATAAATGGTTCTTGAAAGCCAATTGTAGACATGGTATACTCAGTCCAACTTGTTGGGGTCTGGAGGCTCATTTTTATGTGACTATCCAATTTAGAGTTAAATGGCGTTACGAAAAAATTAAAGTCATGGACAGCATAATCCCTCAAATGATAAAGCTTCCAAGATCCCATCATTCTGGTTCCCCTTCTTTTCCCTTTCACTTGCATGCTCCTTTCTCTTAAAGAAGCAAAACAATACATAAGTTCACCAAAATTCTGAAAGTCACAGTCTGTACAGCAGTGAATGAGAGTAGCTTTGGCCTTTGAAATTATGGTCCCTTTCATCACAGATATTTTCTTCATTCTGGGTCAAGGCGAGGTAAAACAGGAAGAATACGATTCCCAAAGGCAGAGTCTTGAGTTTTGAAGTATCCAGATGAATGTGCGTGAGCATGCTGCAAAGCTGCCTTCTGCTCAGTATGATCCCGGAAGTCCTTATTAAGACAGGGCCTGGACAGTGCAATGCTAGCTCCAGGATGATTTGCTGAAGATTGGTTCTGCATAAGTAATTTTCTTTTTTCTTTGTCCAGTTCTGCCAAGATTGCAACTCTATTTTTGTTTTGAAAACCTTGTCCTGAAGAGTTTGCTGCCATCTTCCTATTTTGTTTCAACTGTGCTCAGTTGCAAATGATCAGCCCTTTACCATTACCTAGGACAGGAGTGCGCCCTGTCAGATCGCGGTGGTCCAGTCGGCCGTGGGACCGCACAGGCAAAAATAGCGCTACCCTAGCTCCATAACCTTCTCGGCCCCCTTGTATTGTTTCTTATTGCAGACTTTAAAGCGCTCTCTGTGTAAATACAAATAAATTAGAATACAGTTCTGATTTATGTGATTCTTATACTAAACATAATAATTGCCGTACCTGTAATACATACTTCTGAAAACAAGTGTATAACCTGTTTTTTTCTTTTTTACTTAACATATATTACAAGTATTTTGATGTCTGTAAATAGAAAATTTTAATTTAGAATCAGCGTAGTATTCCACTATATGAATATTGATTTAATCAATTCATTGCTAACAGACGTGAGGGCAACCTCTTGCAAGGATGATGCTTCACAGAATGATTGTGTGCGTTCAGTTTCTCACATTCAGCCTATGTGGAGGATGCATTTTCAGGTTCTCTAGGACGATCAAATGCTGTGCTACCACTGGCAAAAAAAGGACTTCTGGGGCAAAACTGTCTCTAAATTTGCTTTCTTTCATTATGAAATGTGTGAGTCACCTCTTTGTTTGTTTTAAGAACCATTTGTGTTTCTATGTTTATGCTCTTGTAATTTTAAAATTTGTATTTCTATTTCCTTTTCTCTGAGGTACTTACTCATACTCTGCATTTTTGACTTGTCTCTTTGCCACAACAAATTGATTTCTGTGTGCTCTTTATCTGTTAAACAGATTAATCCTTTATATTACAAATTGCAGCCACTTTGCATTACAGTGCCATTGTTCATTTAATTTTGCATAATATAAGATTTTTTTATCAAATTTGTCGACTTTTTGAAGGGCTCTGGATTCTGAGTGGCGATTAGAAAGTCCTCCAACCACTTGGAGATATTAAAGAAGACTCTCAAGTTCACTGTAAAACCTTTATTGTTTTTATATGTAAATATTTTACATATTTGCTACCTATATTGTTATTGGAAGTGAGCTGTGCAACCAACATACTTTTTTTCCCCTGGGGGATGTCATGATACCGACAGTAAAAAACAAATAGCTTATTGTTCCAATGCTGCTGGAAGATGTTAACTTTAACTTATATTAAATTACTATAATTGAGCTTATTTGGGTTCTTCCAAGCTTTTCTATTATATTCATTTATGTCTGTCCAAGAACCAAAAGAAATTCATTATTGTCATTAGCGCTTTATCTGATAAATCTGTTTCCTTCCCCAGTTCTATTGGCATCTGTAAAGTTGTCCTGTTTTTCACTTTCCCCATGGGGGCAGTAAAATCACTAGTGAAAAAGAAAAAAATAACTTCTGGTACATTTATGAGATCGCTTATGCTTATGAATTACAGTATGGAATATATGCTTATGATAACA